GCCGTTTTTTGAAAAATAACTCGATCCGAATTCTCGTAGATCTTGTTATAGTAGAACTGTATGTTGATAAGCCTTTTTCAGAACAAACAGGAGATCAAAATCAACCAAACAAACCCAAGGCACGTAATTTACATTTGCATTTGCTTGTCTCCACCTGGTGTTGATGTTCCATTTCCTTTAAATTATTCCGACATTTCTCATATGTTGGACGTTCATCAAGATTGCCAGCAGTCTTGCATGATTTTGTGCCTACAAATTAGGACTAAAGGTTTCATAAGGTGCTGTTGGTGATCTATTGTAAAAGAAAGATTTTTACTATTGAAAGTTTATCGATCATGAATCATGACCACGTGAGTAACTAAAGAAATGTATAATAAGTTAATTAGTAGAATTCAAATTCATAACCAAGTACTAACAAAACATTATCATTGCGTCGTGGTCTTGGCATTCTGTGGCCCTGTTGAAGTAGTTGTATCACCTTTTGCCCATTAAAAGATGGGCAGGGAAAGCCACCTAAAAGGAGAAGTTAAACATAAAAGTGATCTGATCAGCTTTCTTAACTTCTAATGTAACGATGTTATAGTCTTAAACAAAGCGTTCGACAGTGCACGTTAGGTTAGTAATATAAACGAATATAAAGGAGCCTTTTCAGAACAGTTTTTACCAACAGTGTAGTCGCACTTTTCCTCTCAGGAAATTGGTCATCTCTCTGAGATGGTCTTCTCAGGAAACTTCAAAGGGCTGAAACGATAATGTCTCAAGCCAATACAGGCGAGCAAATTAAGTATGCTGCATTTGTTGTAGCCTGTTTTTCATGATTTGCATCCGAAATTATTGAATTATAGGGTTCGAAACCAATTTTGTTAGAAACGCCCATAGATTGGCTATAGATTTAATTTTACTTTGTGTTAACTTAGCTCTGAACATTACTGCCAATGGAAAGCATCAAAAATTCGAAAAATTAACTAGAATATTATATCCTCTGTAAAAATTAGAATATCTAGATTACACAAGCCTCTCTCTCAAATCGAAATTTTAGGAAGTTTTAAAAGCTCTCCAATTTAAAGGAAAAAAAAGCAGTTCTGGTTAAGAAAAAAAATTATCTCTTTAGATTAAAGAGTATGCGTATTCTTTTATTTTGTGAATATTCAGTACTTTGTCCGAATTAATTTGGTATAATGGGTAAATACAAAAGAGAGTTTGTATTTACCCATTTTAGGGCGTTCGGAGCTGGGAGAAACAATCAGAGCGCGCCTTAAATGCACTGTTTCCGTTTATATTAAATAAGGCTATTCAAGGGATAGCAATCATTGCTAGATAGGTAAGAGAAGAAATAAGTTAGAAATTGTATCTCTCTTTCATATCAGATATTTAAAAATAAGTCTTTCGCCAGGTGGAATCACAACGCACACTGGCATCTTCCCAGTGCCCACAGTTGCTCCCTCTCCATCCTTTGTGTCTACAACGGAATACCGTATTCTTGAGCCACAACGTCCCACGTCATCAAACCACATTACACCCGTCCCATGTCCCATGTGCCATGTCCAAATGCGGCAGAGAATAGTGGTCCCTTTGCTCCATCAAAGGCGAGCTGTCTAAAAACAACATGTGCATGAGATGGGTTCCAAAAGTCATCACAAATCATACCAAGACTCCATCACGAATAGGGAATAATTCGTGGGCGCGCGTAGATATATATATATATATATATATATATATATATATATATATATAGGATTTCTCTTCGAGTGTTTAACTCGATAACTCACGAGTGAGCGCAGCGAGTGAACCCAGACCATCTTATCATTATAAAAAATTGTTTCAAAGGACTGACTATCGAGAAATCCTCACTTAAAGGGTAACTCAGGTAACGCATAGAAACAGATACGAGGTGCTTTGAATGCCTCTTTGTGCCTTTTTTCGCCGGGAAAACTGTCATCCGCCGTAAACACTTAGATTTTGATCATGTGACCCGTCACACGTGTGTACTTTAAGCAAAGTAAATACGGCGCATAGTAGTTCGAGCGAAAGCAGTTCTTTTTCGGGGTCTGATTATTCGGAATTTTGAGGCTTCGATGTAAGGTGAACATTATGAAAGGGTTCATGAACCTGTTAGTGAAATCAGGCCCTCGCGATTTGAACCACCGGACGAACCTGAAATAGAGCGCAAAAGTCAGAAGAGAGCTGCGGCCGCCTCAATCAAGAAATCGAGAATGGTGAGTGCATTTATGCTTGTAAATAAAGTATCTGAAAATCAGTCGCTTATTAAATGTAGGAGTGATCAAGTAAAGAAAACCAAATGTGTAGACTCTTGAATACCATGGGAGTGCAGTGTTTTTATGCTACACGCACGCACCTTCCGAAGCTGAGGTTTCACTGACTGAAAATATAAACACACACGCTTGTGGAGGTGAATTGGATAGATTATACACGTTTCCACTCGATTGAATCTTCCTGTGTTAAATTTGGCCAACGGTTAAAGATTTCTCGGCTTTTACTTAAAAACACGATGTAGCAAAAAATATATAGCATTCGCACATGTAGAATTGAACATCCTCTTAATATTAACTTATTGTTTACTTGTTGTCTTTGCACCTTGTTTAAAGTCTAAATTTTGAGTTATCTCTCACGTTTGTGACAGTTACAGAGCTGATAACTGTCCCTTTTGGTGAAATCAGTCATACAACTTGTGTTCTCTATTCCTTCTATTCAAGATCGTGAAAAAAAAATTGCTACTTCATTGATTTTTTTTATTACAAGGTTTCAGTATGGAAACTGCCAATTAATGTGGAGGAAGAAAGAAAATATCTTTTGCCAAGAAGTAGATGTGGAAAAAAATTTGGAAGATGTTATAACAGAAGCCGGATGTGTTGTCCAGCATCCAGTGTTTGAGGAAACTGGCGAAGGCTGACTCCGTCTGCATTTGTTTTGTTACAAAATGTCACCACACAGCGCTTCTCAAGTTTTCGTTTTCTTTGGTTTACATCCTGTTGTTTTCCGTCCGTGTTTTAAATGTCAACGTGGCTAAAAACAGTACAGTTTTGGATAACTTGAGCGTGAACATCCTATATAGACATACCTACCGAGATTTATGCGCCAAAAAGCATCGAGATAAAAATATTCGCGCTAGAGAAATCAGGTGATTGGTCATACAATTATTTTCACTAGCGAAAAACGAAGTATGGACGTTCTGATTGTCTTTATCATCATTTTCACTAGTGAAAAAAACCGTGTCGCCCGCTCGCTGCTAATCTTGACTGACAAATAGCACATTTCGAAGAGCTTAAGGGCATTGTTCTCTAGAAAAATGGCTTCAAATCAGACTAACCGTTTTCAGAGCCTAGATTCATCTGTAGAAGAGTTCATAGACGGCCAGGAAAATGAGAACACCAAGAAAAAGACCAAACACGATGTTGCTCAGTTCCACGAAATTTTTTTTTGAAAGGCGATACAGTTAAGGAGTTTGAGCAGAGGTGTCCCAAGCTCACATCTCGGAAAAGACGAAAGATCGATTCTCGGACACATATGTATTTATTCATGAAAGCGTCACGCGTTGTGTTACGCGATGTTTGGTTTCGCGAGGAACCGTTGACTTAATACGTTATACGGAATGATTTGGGAAATCAAATATGGTCGATTTACAACGCTAAGTATTCCGAAATGTGAACATTTTACGCTCCTTGTGTGTCCATTGCGGTTTCTGATGATTTCTGCCATGAGACGGCTAGGATGTACATAAATGTTTCGCTTTTGAGCTTTTTGCCATGAACGCGACCCCGGCTAGGCGGGTTACCCCACCTTGAAAGTTTACATGGCAAATTGTCACCCCAGCTGACAGGGTTACCCTACCTGGCAGACCGGGCAACCCACTTAGGCGGGTCACCCCACCTATCATGTAAACGTGATCAAAATAAAATAAGAAATTATAGGCACAGGCGGGTTACCCCACCTACCTGAGGTCCCCCACCTCCGTGTAAACAGGCCCTAAGTTCGGGGCAAGCTCATCGGGTGCATTTTGATATTTCGTTTATTATCGCATGTTTATTGTGTCACTTAGGTTTCTGTAAGTTATTTTCATTGTATTTAGTTTTTTAATCGCCACACGCATTCTTACACTAGTTCCTGTTAATTTATTGATTCCAGTTTGCGAGAAAATGTAAACAATTGTAATAAAGATCAGCATTTAAATTGGTTCGCGGTCTCTGTAACATATCCCCGTATTTCGGCACGTTATACTCATCTGGTCGTTGTATTTCTTGGCACCATTTCGCTTTGATGTTCGCTTGCTGTTACAGTTGCCAAACATTTAGAATCGACGTCTCCCATGAGCTCTGTCCGCTTTTCGTCCTCGACTAGGATAACTTCAGTGAAATTCCCACCGTTTTAAATATTTTCGTGGCATTTTTGAACAGTATATTTTTGCTGATAATATTGATATGGAACACACTTGTTGTTTTTGTGATATGTTACAAGCCTTCTCTTCACACTTCGTCAAATATCCTCTTAGCATCTCAAGGAAGCGCCAGTATCGCGGTTTCGCTTCTTGCACAACCGTCATTAATCGTTTTGGAACTCGAAGAGATCCGTGGAAATGCCAATGGCTATTGCATATCCCAATCGATAACTCTTGCAGTGTCTACAATTTGTATTTTTGTTTTTCCCTTCTCTGTTTTGGGAATTGTAGTGGATCAATACTTGGCCTTACCGTATGCAGATTGGCATGCCTCAAAGGTTGCACCAAGAAATACCGCGATCATGGTTGTCTTCGCATGGTCAGTGACCACTTTAACTTGTTCTATGTTTGCTGCATTTGGGGATACAAAACTTTTGGTTTATTTTCGTGATATATTTGGCTGTAATTGTCATGTTTTTTAACTCTCCTACTTAGCGTCAAGAGTTATCTAAGAATCCGATGATATCTGATGCAGGTCCAGCAACAACTTGAAACTCCCTCCAATATGCAAATGCGCCAAATGAAGGTCGTCATCAAAAAATTGCAACCATGGTCTTCTTTATTTTAGTATCTCATAACGCATTTACCTTTCTTTAGCACATTAATTACTGCACATAAAGCTGGATAGTCGATGGTATTGAAAATTGGCCTTTTTTTGTCGCATTGGAAAAAAATTAATCGTTAGCCGTAAAATGGCCAAAATTTTAAACTGTGGTCCTAAGTACCATCACCCCATTGAGACACTGAAATATAGCATAGACTTAAGAACATAAATAAATGCAAAAAAGTAATTATTTAAGGGGAATAAACGATGTGCACGACCGTATTATTTAAATAGTATGGACTCAAGGGGCCATCTGCAGCTGTTGAGCGGAAGGCACGAAGAGTCTTAAATCTCGAAGGCTTCTTTTCAATCCTTTACTACCCAGCTGCCACAACTTCCACAACAATATCCTGCTCAATTACCAAATGCATACGCGCTTGCTTTTTAATCTTGGAAGTTGACGTTGCGCTTTTGCTCTATTCGAGATAACGGCGAATCTAACAGTGATCAACTCAAACTGACCTTAGCGACAACTTCCATAATCAGTTATCTCTCTCAAAAGTGGCCTTTACACCGATAAAAGGCCAAAATATCTGAGCAAATGAAAAGTGACATTATAGTAACATCAAAAACAATATCGGACTTAAATTAGCCCTAAAGTAAAATCAGTAATCTAAACTAAGTAACAAAGGAAAATATATGTAAATCTGATGTGTATTTTAAAACTTTGAATGAGGCTCGCTTTCTATGATCAGCCTTTTCCCTATGAGAAACACCGTTTCATAAAAAACCATTCAATTAAGGAAAAAATAAATGAATAGAAATAAACAATGATAATTTTTAAAAAGTATTGAGAAAGAAAACCTCCAAAAAAAAACAGCCTAGATCTACCATCAAAATGGGAGAATAGCAAGACATTGAATTAGGACAAGTATCTCAGGCGACTAGCCACAAATGAGTTAGTACCAGCTTTTACTTTTGAAATGTGAACGATTTTGTAGGAGCCCTTTTCGTTTGTTTTATCTGTTTGTTTCATGGTCCGTCCCTCCGAAAAAAGAACGTGTTGTCGTAAGTGTTGCAAGACTAACTAAAGTTTTTCTCCTACATTCACAGCTGGATGTGCTACTGAGTCTTTTTTGAGAAATAACTCAATCCAAATTCTCGTAGAGCTTGTTGTCGCTGAATTGCATGTTGATAAACCTCTGCCAGAAAAAAAAAAGAAGGAATTAAAATAAAAGAAACCCAAAGCATTTGAATCACGTTTCATTTGCTTTTCTTTTACCTGATGTTAATTTTCCATTTCCTTCAAGTCTTTCCTAAGATTCTCAAAGGTTGGACGATTATCCGGATTCTCTTGCCAGCAATCTAGCATGATTTTGTACCTAAAAATTAGGATAAAAGGTTTTATGAGATTGAAAGGTTCCCGATTTACTTATATTTTAAATATCTTTGTTTGCTGTTGATGATCTATTGTAAGGGAGGATTTTATTTTTTGTATTGTGGAAAGTTTATCGATCATGAAGAGCGATAAAATAAATAAATAAACCACGTGGATAACTCAAGGGATGAACAATAATTTAAATAATCGAGAGATTCCAAATTCCAGTTACTTACAAAGCATCATCCATATGTTGTGGTCTTGGCATTCTGTAGCCCACTCCAAGTAGTTCTGTCACGTCTTGATTATCAAAAGATGGATAAGGCGAGCCACCTTAAGTGAAGAAGTTAAACATTAAACTGATTTGATCAATTTTCTTAACTTCCAACGTGAAGATCTTGTAGTTTAAAACGAGGCGTTTACGACTTTGGCCAGTCATGTTTTTGACTTGGACAATGAATGTTAGGTTAGGAATTAAAGAGGAGTCTGTCTGCAACGTTCCTTTTTTTCCATCAGGGAATGTAAGAACTTAACCTCTCTGTCTTCTCTCTTGTTAAACACTTTAAAGGAAAACCTACCAGCGACAGTTTTCAAAGGAAAACTTTTTAATTCAATTTTCTTAATTTTGATCTTAGAGGGATGATTAAGAGCGATTTCTTTTCGAGCAAACTCACATACCTATCGTGAATATTTCGTAAAGCACAATTCCAAAACTCCACCTGAATTAGAGAAAACAAACCAAATAAGAAATTGTTCATGAGTGATGATATGCTGACACTGTCTTAACGCATACAAAAGATATTACATTTATAGCCAGAATCAAGCTTTGAAAAGTTTGCAAACCGGTTTCCAACTTACACATCACTTTTCGTGGTATATTGTCCATACTCGAGTGCTTCAAAAGCCGTCCATTTCGTCTGCTCTCTTCGCTTTAATCCGTAGCAAATTACAAGAAAATATGTGTGAAAAAATGTCGAAGGGTAAGGTTGAAAAATCATTTTGAGTATTTGTATGAAATTAGATTTCCAGATACCTTTGTTTTACATTGATAGGCACCTTCCCGGCCAACGTCTCGAGCCATTCCAAAGTTGGTTACTTTACATGTCTCTCCCTCACCAACCATGACATTGCGGGCTGCAAGGTCGCGGTGGATAATCTTTCAAACAGAATGCAAAGAATAACTTATCGTTACTTCACCCTTGAAGTCTACCCTAGAGTTAGGTTCTGCAAATTTGCAACAAAGCGGACTACTTGTTTTTTTTGTTTGTTTTTTTTTAATTTCGTTTTTTAATTTGTTTTTTTTAAACATGAAACCTATCTTTTTTTCATTAATTGTTCACTCTCTTTTTAACTTTCTCAAGGGGTAAGATCACTTTTCATCGAGATACTCTAACTTCCAATTTATGATATCATAATTCCAGGGTAAATATAACCGGAACATGTTATACATCACATTCTCGCTACACTTGGATGCAACAAATCAAGCAATTATGATCCAAATCTCACATTCGTGAATTGAATTATCGCTACGTTAAACTTCACCTCAGTAAACTTAAATATACATCACTATGAACTGTACTTCACACATCATATGAATATGCTGGCAACCCACTTGCATAACTGTGACGTTCAGTCCTACTGTTTTGTTTTTGTATCTGTTTTTTTGTGTATGTTTTCTAGGAAACCGCCGTATTGGAGAACCCCACACAGCAATAATTCCCTCTGTTAGGGCGTGAGCACTCATGTTATTGAGCTGTTTTCAGACGACAAAGGCAAAGTCTATTGGAGAAATTTTTGAACGGTTCGACTTATTTCTGAGTTCTTGAAAAGCGATAAAATTACATGCATACTTATTACTGGCGGAATAAAGATTAAATGGTTTCTAAGGTAGGAAAAGAATCCGAAATCATTTGTTCCTTTTCTATTTTTTTTTTTTTAAAGAAGATTACCTCCTTAAACGACAAATACTCCATGCCATCAGCTATTTGCCAAGAAAACTTCATCAACTGCAGGGTAGTATTTCGGCTCTTCTTTAAGTAACCCAAAAGATCTCCGTTAGGAATATACTCGAATATTACAAGCAAAGGATCTGCAAAAGATTTATAACGAAGCATTTATATAATACAATATATTAGTACGAAAACAAAAGGACTCTCCTTTAAAATGAATGATGTTCATCCGTTCAAATGTATTGGACAATACTAACTAGCTAAGTTAAAGAAATAAAGATTGTTAATAAGATGCCTATACAAAGAAACATAATTGTTACAAGGACTGGACAAAGAAAAAATCAGTCTGCCTCTATACCCTTGGCACCTAGATCAGAATGGAATACCAGCGAGCTCGTAGCCAACGAGGTCCCGTACAAGGTTCATGTTTATCATCTTCAGTAGAGATCTATGCCGTGGAGATAACCAATAAAGAGAGCTTTGCGTATCGAAAGAGCAAAAAACGATGGGTAACTTTAAAGCTCCGCCATCATACTAAAATAATGTTAGATGAATCTGCGAAAATGGTGGGGCATGAAATTAAGATGATTTCAAAAGATAAAGAGTATTTTGATGTCAAACATTTGAAAACATTATTTCCTTTCGTATGCCATTAGTTGGATCTATAATTTTTTGTAATGTAACTGCTTTGTAATTCTATTTACCTGATACAGTGACGCATCCCAGCAGTTTGATAACGTGAGGATGAGGTTCGAGTTTTTTCAGAATTTCGAGCTCTGACAGCAAATCGTTTCTTTCCGCGACTGCACCGCTGTCTAGATTTTTTATGCAAACGAAAAAGACCTTTATAAAATTAAGCAAACATTTCAGAAATGTGATATGCGTTTAAATCTATGACAAAACATGCGCTAGTCTTGAGAACTAAACTAATTTTGGTCCAAGTAGAATACCTTTTAGCCTTTTTATGGTCACCGTCATTCTTCCGTTTATTCCTGGCAAGTTAGTCGCGGTTCCCCGAGCGACTAGACCGAACGCACCATCTCCAATGCCGTGCTCAATGTTTACATTTTCTCTTTCCATTTCCCATGAGCGGGTTCCCGGACTAAGTCCTGAGTCACGAGCCAAGACATTATCAGCATTTCTGTTTTCGAGTTCAAATGCCTCATTCTGTAATTTAAAAGAAAAGTGTGCCACACTCAGCAAGACCCTGACATCTCCCTCCAACAACTGTGGGATTACGAAGATGTTTTAGGACATAGTTTATGGATAATTTGTTGACTATATACCGGCATTTGAATAGTCGTAAAGTCATAGATTCGTTTGTGGATTAGCAGCGAGAGGATCTTGCATGAGTAGCTAAAACAACTAATTTTAGCCAGGTACATAATAGACCTGCAGAATTCATTAAAATCTGCTCCAATTTGTTGGTACGATTCATGGCCAACTACCATTGCATGCCTACTCTTATTCGAGTACCTTTCAATAGATCACCCTTCTGGCACTCAGTTAACATCAGTGCAATTGCTAAAACTTTGAAAATCGTAGATATCTATTTTACGCGAATACACGCAGAATTCAGCTGACAACATTTTGGCTGATTTTTTTACTTACAGTTTGAGGCCAGAATTGTTCCCGATGGACCGCATGCGGTCTAAAAGGAAATCAAACATCGGAGACAGCAGTTAGAAACACTTCACAGATGGGGATCTTTTCTTGAAGCCAGAACTGACTGACAAAAAATCTTATCAGTCGTGCTCAGCCGGCAACAAGCCGAAATTTGGTTTCTCTTAAAAAAGTGACAATGCCAAGAGTCTAAAACCTACCCTTCCCACCTGCTGGCCTAGACATGTACCCCGCGCCGTTCTCATCGGCCAGGTTTTCGTCCTCTTCAAGCGAAACTCTTGCGGGCGGGTGTTTGAAAGCCCTCCCAAGCCCCCCGCTTTGGACTCAAAACAACCTTCCCACCATAAAATGTTTACCCACTAGTTGAGCTGTGGCAGGTCACGAACCAGGCTGTTAATCTTGTAAGATAGCAAGCATGTCTTTGCTAATCTAGGCAGGTATACACCTATAAAAAGATATTATTTTATATATTGATGATCTGCTCACTTTAGACCAATGCAAATTTTGGGTGTATTTAGGAGCCAATATCATGCCTGCAAAAAAGCTCCCTCAAGGCAATCGAACGAGGCTGATAATTATCTTCTGACTGTTGACTACTTCGCAACTTTTGGGTGTATTTAGGAGAAACCTCCAGTGCTATAAGAATGCAAGCTTGCAAAACCCCCCTCAGGGTCATTAAACAGACAGATAATTATGTGTCCGTGCTTCCTATTTACTAGCCAGATATTCAACTTAAGTTCTTACCGATCTCTGTTTTGACCTGAAAATTGCAAGAAAAAATTAGAGAAATAGGTCAGAGAACGGCTGCATTTATCAATTGCTGGTTATAATTTCCTTATTCCATCCATATGCCTGCTATGAATGGACAATTTTTCTTGTACATAATCACCTGAAATCTATGTTCATTGAAATTAAAGGTGTCAACATAAATTCAAAGGAATTACTATGTCAGGAGATCTGAAATTCTACCGAGATGCACGTTTGCCAAGCCCTTCTGGTTTCTTCTTTTCTCCTATCTCTTCTTCTCTCCTTCGTTTCTTTCTCAACCCCCTTTTTGGTTTCTTTCCTGTAAATTTAATTTAGCTCGGACGAGTAAGCATCCCTTCTGAGAATCTCCAACCCTAGGTATGTTCCATTAAAATTAGCACTTCTACTTACGTTTCCAGTATTTCCAAAGTTTGAAAATTACCAATAGTACAAACGTGAAAGCAAGGGCTACACCAACTGAGCCATAAATAGCATCTTTATTAACCTCCTTTGGTTCCGATGGAGCAGGTCTAGGAACAGGAACTAATTAGGAGTAAATTTGAGATTCATTCCTCTTGAAGCAAAACCCTCATATCATCAGCTCGTTCGTCAAATAATCTAAAAGTCGATCAGTTCATCACAAACAACTAAGAGAGTCCATGGCGCAGAATGGCTCTTCTTTGAAGAACATATACTTACTTAATGGCATAAATTACTTATGTCGCAGCAGAGCTCCCATTCGGGTTCTCGATGGTTGTAGTTTGCCCTTACAAATGCAAATTTACTCAAAACTCCATCAAATGTACAAGCAGAGAATAGACATTAGAGTTCCGAGCAATCCCGATCGCTTGTTACGATCATATGATTATTTGGTAGTCAACCATGTATCTCATTTCCGCCGGACAGCTGCGCTGAATTTCGATTAAATGCCAGCAGTCTTTCCCCAAAACGCCTTTGTGGCCTTCGGAGTTAATGTTATGAGCGGTTTCAACGCAGTTTAAGCCTCTTTTCCTCTTTCCAAACCTTAATGAGCAGAAGCGGCTAGTTTTATTTGTTCTCGAACGTCAAACACCATTTCTGTCTTCGCCACTGCTAATTGTCGTAGGATTTGCTGCGTGACTTGACGAACAAATCACTAGAATAACTCTTTCGTTCTCGCGCTTTTGATACTGAAAGATAGTTCATTGATTGCAAGGTATAATCATGTCCTCAAGACAAACTATTTGTTCATCCATTACACCATGTTGAGAGTAATTAAAATGTTAAGCGATTCTGCACGGTAAAAAACGAACGCGATAAATGCTTTAGGTCGGCCGGCTGTACGCGTTATGTATCACCCAATTGTTAGCAGAGAACACTTGCAAATGTTTGCTGTTTTGCATACTTTGAAAAGGCATCGACCTACCATTGTTTCTTTTTATCCTGTGCTGGATAATATATTTCAAATTTTACAAGGTAATCCCGTCCCCTTTTTTCTTTCGTTTTTGATTTGTATTCATATAAAAGAAATATCTTCGTTATCGTGCAGGGCAACTGTCTAAAAATTTTTTTAGTTTTCGTTATAATGGCCAAATATTATAAGTATATCACTTTTTTGATGTTATTCTTCTTGCATATTATATTTTACCTTTTGGTGTGCAAATCACGCCGGCATCTTGTTTATGCGTGCAGTCCGTCGTTCTCCATCCGTTATGTTTACAATGAGTAATTGCAGTCTCACTTCCAGTACAGTTTACGTTATCCATCCAAATCACGCCTGAACCTTCTCCAAACGCTGCAGAACGGAGAGCCTCTGATGCTCGTTCGAATCCCAGTTGTCGACAAACTACATTGGCTTCTGGCATCTCCCAATGATCATGGCATATTGTTCCCCACACTCCATCGTAAAATATTTCAACTCGACCTTGATATGAAGTAGCTCCCCCAACTAGCCTGACTGTCACGTGAACGAAATCAAGAGATAAATGATTTAAGTTAGACCTTTTGTGTTCCTGTTCGCCTCATGTTTAACAGATTGCTAGTTTTATTGCTAAGGCAAAGAAATATTTGTCAAAAACACATTTGCTGAGAAGTATGATGCTGAAAGGGTTTTTGTGTGGGGAAGGTGGAGTTGGGTTCGTCTAATACCTAAAGGATTAAAAATCCATCAATTGCATCCTTTTTGCGGGAAATAGGGTTACAAGATGTCTTTTATTTACCTTTGGGAGTTTTGCATATCACACCGGCTAGTTGTCTACTGTGACAGTAATGTCTTTTCCACCCGTCGTGTCTACAAAAAAACAGTGATGTTTCATTGCCAGCACAGTGCACATTGTTCATCCATACATTCCCATGTTTGTTTAAGGGCTGGCTGTAAGTTGAAAGAGCGTTTGAGTATCCAAGCTCGCCACAAACAACATCAGCGTCGTTTTGGTCCCAATGCTGATCACAGATCCAGCCCCATGTTTTGTTGTGGTAAACTTGAACGAGGCCGTCACTGGCTAAAACGCCATTACCCAAACGGACTGTGTGAAAACGCATGAAATCAAATCAATCTTTACGTTATCTACACTGGCTCAGAAACAGCATCTCGCATGTGGCGTCGTCGGTTTTGGTCAATTACCACTTTTCTTTGTTATTTAAAAAACCATGTCTATTTTTATCTTACTTCATTTATTTTCTAGTACTTTACTTAACCCCCACCTTTTGGAGTACAAATGACACTGGCATCTTGAGTGTGGTCGCAATCTGACACCCTCCATCCTTTATGTTTACACCTAGATATTGCTTCCTCCTTCCCCGTACAATTGACATTATCCATCCATATGATTCCTGACCCTTGCCCGTAAGCAGCATTACGAAGAGCTAGTAGACCTCCATCGAATCCCAGCTGACGACAGATAACATTAGCTTCTGATAGTTCCCAGAAGTCGTGACAAATCGTTCCCCAGGCCCCATTGAAGAAAATTTCGACACGGCCCTTGTATGTCGCAGTTCCACCGACTAAACGCACTGGTGATGTGATATAAAACGGTCACCATAAATCTCACAGTTACTCGATATGACAGTTGAGAGCGATTGTTACTAACTGTCCAACATTTGGTGGCAACAGCCGAAAAATCATTTTCGCTCATATTTCAAAGTTAAGTAGCTAGGTCTCAATGGGAAATAAATCACAGCATTTTTCATTTGGCTGAATATCAATATATTTTCGAGGAAATCGATCATAACTGAATTCCCCCAGAATGCCGCTTTTGAAGCCCAAAGATTTAGGTGAATCTCGGAGTGCCGCGTCAAAAATTGAAAAAACGATAAAAAGTACCAAATTTAAAAAATAAGATTAAAATATGTGTTGCCAGCAATTTGAGCAATTCTTGATTAGTTATTTAGACAATCTAATTGAATTTATCCGACCAACTTCTTACTACATAAAAATAGTCAAAAGTAACCCGTTTTTTCACTATGTACTACACAAAATCTGGCTTTTGGGAGATGAAGTGTGGTCCTTTTCGATCTCCAAATAATTTTTGGGGAAATGATTCAGCGCGATGTACTCAAATTTAAAAGTAGTAGAAAATGTACACAACACGCGCAAACTCAATTGTTTCACATTCTACATTCAATCTGCCGTTATTTCACATAACATCCTCTTACATTTCATGTTGCTATTTGAAGAAGAGGGCGACAGTCCTGAAATTGTTGCATCGTTCCCATGAAGGTAAATAACTTGGCAGGATAGTCAACGCTTCCTGGTCATGCTCTTACAAAGCGTATTTCGGGGTTTCTTGACTCCGATTTCGTCGAAAAGGAGGGTGTAGTTACTTCACGTAAGAGACCTTTGTTTAATGTTAGTATTCAACCGAACCGCGAACCAAATGGAGGCGGAATGTTGCTAGTTGAGAAACATGTTTCTCGTGTGCGGAATAACGTCAGCTAATTCAAAATGAGGTCTACTGAAAGCGACAACTCCGCAAAAATAGAACATTGGACTGTGAAACACGTGGCTTCGTGAACTTAGGTCAAGTTTTTAATGTATGAAAAAGGAGCAAACAATCATCTAATCCTGATCATAATTAAATGCATCATGATTAAATTAATCATGGTATTTTATAAATTATTGTTTTAGGTGAATAAAGTTGAAGATCTGCAAAGACCATTACTGCAGATGTGCAATAGAGCAAAGTGCAGTGTTAGAATATTGTTTATTTAAAAGAAGCTATAGAAGGGTCAAATCTACAACTTTCACTGAAAAGTTTATACAAGCCAAATTGATATTTACACTTCGTCTTCCCCAGAGGCTACCATGCCTTGTGAATTTACTCTCTTAGAGTACTAATTGCACTAGCTGATACAGCAGACTCGAGTAAGGGTTGGTATTCCTTACATCAGGGACTTAGCGTAAAATACATGTCCCCTGAGCGTTAATTATGCTGATATTGTATATTTTAAACAGTGGGTTTTAAAAGAATCAACCCTGCTAGTTAGATATTTAGTAATCTTGCCCAAGAAGCAACCCGATTAAACAGTGATCTATCCCCCTCAAATATAGTCGAGTCCAGAGCCAAAATGAATTATATGGCAGTACTTTATAGAGCGTAGATGATGCGTAATGAAGAATGTAACACAAGCCTATTTTGCGGTCTTTAAGACAAAAAGATCGAAAGATCAACCTAGTTCGGTGATTAAAACCACTGCTTGCTACAATTACTGAATTGTGATACGTTTTGAACCTTCCTGCTCTCTTACTTTTGTTTGGTTAGCATAACCGCTAACACCTTACCGATCATCTACAGAAGAACTTGACCAAGCAAGGAATCAATCTGAAGCGCGTTAACTTTTCAAACCCCCAAGGTAGAAAGGCTCGTGACTGCGAGGTTGTAAAATAGAAAATCAAATGAGAATCTCAATGCCGGCCATGACATCGAGACAGCATCGCAAATGATGACAGCCATAGGTGATCTGGCGGAATGGCTGGACTCAGCATAACTGTGAGCGGTCCTCAGCGTACTTACTGCAAATTCAACGCCAGTGAAGTGGGACGAGTAGTAGTTTTATTAATAACGTTGCATACACCAAAGGAGGTGTGCTAAGGTGAAGAGCATATGGAGTTAGCTTGCGGTAAAATTTTTATCTTGGGGAAGTTTCTGCCAACAAAGCAGCAGCCCTCTTCCTCAGTTAAACAAGCATACAGATAATGCGATTTCCAATGTTTCTTTCCAAACCGTCAAAGCTTGACAAAGCGCAAAACAAACTACAGAATTAGCAAAGCCGCAGCACGCGAGAATGACAGTGACGACGAAACCTGTGAAAAAGGAAGTGTTCAGAGGAGGGTCACATCAAGTCTTTCCAGCATTTCTCGTCCTCAAAAGGACATCTGAACTGTGGCAAACATAAGTATGCCCTAGAACCCTAGAACAAGAAACGCTGTGCGACAAGGCAATAAAATTGTGCGCAGCTAAACTGGAGATGGCGCTGCTGCAGTTGCTGAAACTGAGGATGAAGATATATATATCGTCAGGGGATGAAAGTCCAGCACCAACAGGCTCTGAAGTTAGCGATAGCACCAAGGAAGAATCTCGCCAATGCTTAGAAAAACTATCTTACTGAAGGAAAGCACTGGGAAGAAGGCTGATCCCACTACCATTTTGAAGAATGCGAAAGCGAAGAGCTGAGCACAGCAACAGCTCCAGTTTCTTTGAAAAGGAAGACTTCCTCGCACCTCAGGAGATGACAGGATGTTTTCTCGGTTAACAGCGAAAAAAAACTTTCAGCACTTGCGGCGAAGATTTTGAAAGATATGAGGCATCCAAGAGCTTACTGAGGAAGTAATATTAAGACTTTTGCTCTTCAGCATCCAATCATATTTGACAAATACAACATCTGTGAAATTGTGGGCTAGTGGAAGCTGTCAAAGGTTTCTGTGCGGATGCTGCGGGAGATTTGTTTTAATAAGATGCGTTATATTGTGACACTTAGCAGCGTGTGCGTCCTTTAGGGACCCGCTCCCGCAAGTTAAACTCCTTAAATATTCGTTGTCGGTTACCATGTAGATTTGACTGAGTAAACCTCTCAGTTTCTCATCCTGGTTGTCCCTCGTGTTATTACAGATTTACACCGTGCTCGAGCTGGACGTATCTTCAATAACAAGCAAGCGAAAGCAGCCCTATATAGATATTTTGCCAGAATTAGTTGACAAGTGTGGTAGTAAATGCATGGACTAAAATATCCAAAGCAAACCTTGAATTCCTTGCCAGGGAAAAGATCCACGCCCTGTCAGCAAATCTTACGGATTATTAGCGTACCGTTGTAATCCGCTCTAGCTGAATATGGAAATGTTTCTTTTTAACGTGTCGTCTATGAAAAGTTGTCATTTACTTCTTAAATTTCTGACCTTCGAAGGAAAGATTGAGGAGATAAGCACAATATGGGTATGTTTATTGTTAAAAAATATGTGTTTATTGTTCATCGTGGTTTAAGGTAGGAGATGAACTTTATTCGTTTGTCACCAATAGCAGCGAACCGACGTGCTACAAATAGCGACACGTAAACAATCAACCTCACCGCCTGATGAAGACTGGCAGTATTGCAGTCGAAACGTCGCGATTAACACCCAAACTGACCCCATCGTGAGACAAACGAGGTTCATCTCCTATGGTTTTGTTTACTTTGTTTTCCTCTAATAAAATCTATACGTTAGTCTTTTAGAAGTGGGCGTGAAAATTCTGGTCAGATCAAACAACAGCTTGTGTTAAATTCGTCATTACGCATCATCTATGATCTTTAATGTACTGCCATATAATTCATTGATGGCTTTGGACCGGACTATATTTGGGGGGGATAGATCACTGCTCATTCGGCTAGCTTCTTGGGCAAGATTACTAAATATCTAACTAACAGGGTTAATTCTTTTAAAAGCCACTTTTTAAAATATACAATATCAGCACAATTAGCACTCAGGGGACGTGTACGCTAAGTCCCTAACATAAGGTATAGCGACCCGCACTCGAGTCTGCTGTATCAACTGATGCAATCATTACTCAAGGCGTTTCTTGAGTTTCGAGATACGCAGTAATGGTTTTGTAAGCAAATGTAAGCTTCCGGATCACTGCCCGGAAAGATAACGTGAATATCAGGACGTGCTATCTGGGTCGTAGTCTTACTACTGGCACGAGCAACTTCACAAGGCATGGTAGCCTCTAGAGAAGTTTAAATGTAAATTTGGCTTGTATAAAAATTTCAGTGAAAGTTGTGGTTTTCTTGTTGTGGTTTTGACTCTTACACAACTTCTTTTAAATCAGTAAAGAAATATTCTAACACCACACTTTGCTCTATTGCACATCTGCAGTGATGGGTTATGCCCTTTGCTGATCCTAGGCCTTACCACCTAAAACAATAATTTAAAAAATATCATGATTCATTGAATCATGAAATCTGAAATCAAAAACCTCGGAATACGCTTTGCAAGAGCATGATCAGGAGGCATTGACTATCCTACCTTTTTATTTTGCTTTTAAGTGAACGATGCAACAATTTCAGGAATGTAGCCCTCTTCCTCAAAAGAGCAACAGGAAAGGTAAAAGGATATTATGTTAAATAAGCTGTAGATTAGACGTAAAATGCGAAACAAAAAAAATTAGACGTAAAATGCGTGTGTATGTGTACATTTTCGACCGTCAAATCGGCGCATTTTATCCAACTTTGAAGTTGGATTTAATCGCGCTGAATCGAAAGTCCAAAATCGCGATTTTGTGTGGCACATAGTGAGAAAACGGGCTACTTTTTCTGTGAAGTAAGAAGTTAGTCGGATAAATTCAATAAGATCGTGTAAATAAATAGTAAAGAATTGCTCAAACTGCTGACAACATACATTTTAATGATTTTTTAAGATTTGGTAATCTTTGTCGGTCCAGGTTTTTTTTCAATTTGCGACGCAACGCTCCAAGCCTGAAATTTTGAGCGTCAAAATCGGCATTTTGGCGGAATTCAGTTATTAGCGATTTTCTCGAAAATAAATCGATATTCAGCTAAACGAAGTATGCATTTGTTTGTTTTACTCTATATGGCCTATCTAACTTGAGAATATGAGCCGAATTAATTTTTTGGTTGTTGCCACCATATTTTGGAAATGTTGAATATTTGCATGGCCATATGGGCTCTTGAAACTCTTCACTCTTCTTCAAGTTATCTCCGTTTTTGATTATATGGAATAATTCAAAATAAATCTGAACCTTTTCACAGCTATCAAAAAAAAATTAAATTTCTATATAAAATAGTTTTTATAAGGGAATAATCTAGATTGAAGAAAAGAGCCAGGAAGTTCGTATTCTTTTTTTATTATTCTAAGACTAAGATGGATTTGATAGCTTTTAGACAAAGATAGCATCAAGGGCAAAGCTTGAAAGAAATCGATCAAGACATTTTTTTTTCGTTTTCCTACAGGGCAAAGTTTTTATTTCTCAAAATCTAAGAGCTTAAATTGATGACGAATGATGCATATAGGCATTCGCCCACAGAAACAATCGTTTAGTTTCTCGTCCCGGTGTGCAACGGCACACTTTGAAGAGCACTAAGAGTGTGTTCACGTGAGTGCCAGGTAGTCGTACTACATGCCTTCTCACCGATTTCAACGAAACTTCGCCACTTTGAGGGGCTTACCCCAGAACTCAAACCGACAAAATGGTTTCTGTTTTGGTTATTTCTGGAGGGGGATGGAACAACCCTCTGTTTTTCGGTTTCTTAAAAGTTGGTCAAATGTTTGGAGCTCTCACTGCGTTGGTATTCAACCGATTACTCTGAGACTTTGCACACATATTGTTACATCCCTAATAAATGTAAGACGTAAGTATCAGTCAATTTGATTGACGGTTTGTCAATCAACAGAGGCAAATAAATGACTGTTTTTTTCTTAAGTTTTCGATTAATCCAAATTTTTGATAACTTTGAGGTCACATATCTCTCCTTGCCAGAAAGCTACGATGCTAATTTTAATTTCCCTTTAAAAAATATCATTTCATCTCTCAGAGCTTTAAAAAAGTAATTGGACACTGCCGTATTTTTGTCTTGGATGCCTTTTAAAATCTACGACCGTGACAAGCTTCTCTCAACTACACCTGTCACGCAAAGCAAACAAACCTTTATTTTCTAGCTCTTCATACAAGATGATTGGTCTATAAGGCTAAGAAATGTTGATAAGTTTCGAGATTTTCTGTTAATATGGAAAATGTTACGTTTAGAGAGAAGCATGTATGAGAAATGTTGATCTGAAAATCGTAGTGTTTCTTTCTTCTGTCGTTTATTACTTTGGAGTTTTGCTAAAATCAGCAAATATGGCCGCTTAGTTAGTCTCAGACATTTCTGGCCCGTGTCTGCTCTGAAACTCTTTATTTGGGAAACCACATCAGAGGCGGTTGCCTTCTTGCTAGTTTTCTCCCCTGTCCAGCACATGTCTAGGAGATAACTCTTTGCTTTCTTAGAAAAGGCGGCTGCTTTTTTTGTTTTGCAAAGGGCCTATCGAAAGTCCACCCGGCTAACAAGGGATTGTTCATCAGAATTTTTTCATGAGGTCTGACCTAAACCGTAGCCACCCTCTACAGAATGGCAAGCCTTTGCTTATTTTACTAGTACTCTTGATCTCGTCAAAGGAAGATTCTTTTTCCAGCTTGATTTCCTGTTTGCCTTTGTTAAGGTGCTTTTGGAGGGCAGCGAATGAATTAAGCGTCAGGCTAAAAAAGCTGAAAGTGAATTTCTCGTGCGTAAAACTAAAAAAGTGTTGCTTTCTCGTATTTTCTAAAATTATATTGTCGCAATAAATTGCAATAAATTGCAATAAATAGCAAACAAAAACGCATTCTCTTTCGAAAAAAAGTTATAAATTTTAGGGGTCTTTGAAACAATAAGTTGTAGAAAGGGTTTAGTTCTGGTCAACATTGACTTTTCATAGCCTTCTTCCAAATCTGAGAGAACGCGCTGAGGAAATAAAAAGGACATTCATCTGTGATAATGCAAGAAAGAAAATAAAAATGCAAATAAAGAAAAAAGAGAAACATAGGAACCCGTATTGCTTGCCCTGTTTGAGCCAGACCTACAAATTTAAACCAGACAAAACGCAATGAAACTCGAAAGGGTGTCACTCCACGAGCGATTCGAGGGACTGGTATCTCCTTAATTCCAAAATATGCGGCATTCCTGTAGGAAAATTCATGTCGAGTAGCCCTTTGGTGTCAAGCTTTCCAAAAGAATTTAACACAGTGCAACTCTCGAATCTTAAAAATGGCGGGCACTTGGATCGACGACTAGTTCACAAAGAAGAGGTATTCATAGCCTCTTCTTTCGGCGTTGTTTCCGCGATACTTCGGCAAAAACTAAAAGCGGGCGAAGAAGAAAAGTACAGTTGGTTGATTGATGGCATCAACAGCCTAAATATTGGCCAAGATAATGAAGATTGCCAAACAGCGATGACACACGTGACAACAACAAGGACAAAATTCATGACCCCGTACAGACAGTATTTGGAGTCGATTCAAGGTCAGCCATATCCATAGAGGATATCGAGAAGAGTCAAGATGAAAATCTTAAGCTTAAGGCTAAACTTGAAGTTGTGCTTCCCCAGTTAGAGGCCCTTCGAGATGAGGTGAAAAACGGCGGTCAATCGACGCTGAGCTCAGGCACACAGGACCCGGCAAAGGACAACCCGGACAGTACAAGCGATATGTGGACCTTGATCGGCGATGTTTGCGATAAGTTCCAGGTGCCTCTTGCATCTTTATTCGCCGATCAGGTGGACCAGAATGTTGAAGTGGCTAAAGTGATGAGCGATATCGCAGAACAGCTGCTGAGAAAAAAAGACCCGAAGCAAGCCCTGGAAGCAATACTGGGGGACAGTGCCCCAAAATTCGTGTGCCCGATTGGACGTTGCTTTACTTCAAGCTGCAGTCCCGGATCCCAGACCAAGGATGGCAAACCTTGTTGAACTTTACAAAGTTAGGGCGAACTAAGGTAAATCATTTTATCTTTTTAAATCATTTTGTATTGCCAGTTAGTGTGTTTGATTAAATTGGTGAGTGGGGAAAATCTGCCACCCCTGTATTTAAATTCTGGTCAACTTTATCCGTTTCTTTTGGAGGTCAAAATTTATTTAATTATGATATAATAAAACAATATACCGATACAAAGTACAAAGATAAATAGAAAAATAACAAACAGAAATATTGCTTTTCCTCTTTTTTTTTTATTGCTAAACTTTGTCAAGGGCATGGCTAAAGGGGTTCCTGAGGTGCCCCTGACCCCCCACCCCCCTTTAACCATACCTCATCTTACTAAAATCATTTTCACTGATGAGCAGTGTGACTAAAATAGAGTAGTTTATATTAGAACTCAAACTGTAACTTGATCTCAGTATTTTTATTTCACAAGACATGTCTTTCCTTACCTAAACATTTATTTGTGCTCTTATCATTATTGATGGATTCCGCATTATATTATAATCATTCTATTACCATTTTACATTTTAATGGGTTCATTGATCTGTAATGCCAGGGATGGAAACTTAATTTTGACAGCACTGGCCATTGGGCGAGTGCCTTTAATAAATGCAACAAAAAGCCTAGGATTTTTACTTGCCCAAGTAGTTTTGACACTCGCCTGGGCAAGTGGGCAAGTGCTAATTTCCAACCCTGTAATGCCTTCTTTTATTGATTCATTAAGATATTGTTATGTCTGCATTTGTTTATCTAGACGAAATCTGACATTCCACTTCTTCTGAACAAGAATCACATAAAGGCTGTGCGCAAGATGATCTACTTGTTCATTATCTAGATTGAAATCATTGCGTTACATAAACTTTTAAGCCTAAGCTTCAGTTACGAGATCTTCCTTTTTCAGCATAAATCTTTGATTTCTTCAGAATACCAGTAGAGACCCTCAAATGTTATATGTCCTCTCTGGTTCACCCAGGTTGAAGTCCTGGCATAGTTGTATGCCTGAGTGCTTCTGGGATATATAACATAATAAGTATTTTGGTTCACACATGGTAAATCGAAGTTCTAGCAAGTGTTATATATCCTCTTTGGTTCACCCAGGTTGAAGTCCTGGCATAATTGGATGCCTGAGTGCTTCTGGGATATATAACATGAGCATTACTTTTGGTTCGCACATGGTATTGAAGTTCTAGCAAGCGTTATATATCCTCTCTGGTTCACCCAGGTTGAAGTCCTGGCATAATTGTATGCCTGAGTGCTTCTGGGATATATAACATAATAATTACTTTGGTTCGCACATGGTTTTGAAGTTCTAGCAAGTGTAATATATCCTCTTTGGTTCACCCAGGTTGAAGTCCTAGCATAGTTGTATGCCTGAGTGCTTCTGGGATATATAACATAATAAGTATTTTGGTTTGCACATGGTTTCAAAGTTCTAGCAAGTGTTATATTTCCTCTTTGGTTCACCCAGGTTGAAGTACTGGCATAGTTGTATGCCTGAGTGCTTCTGGGATATATAACATAATAGGTATTTTGGTTCGCACAAGATATAGAAGTTCTAGCAAGTGTTATATATCCTCTTTGGTTCACCCAGGTTGAAGGCCTGGCATAATTGTATGCCTGAGTGCTTCTGGGATATATAACATAATAAGTACTTTGGTTCGCACATGGTTTTGAAGTTCTAGCAAGTGCTATATATCCTCTTTGGTTCACCCAAGTTGAAGTCCTGGCATAGTTGTATGCCTGAGTGCTTCTGGGATATATAGCATAATAAGTATTTTGGTTCGCACATGGTATCGAAGTTCTAGTAAGAGTTATATATCCTCTTTGGTTCACCCAGGTTGAAGTCCTGGCATAATTGTATGCCTGAGTGCTTCTGGGATATATAACATAATAAGTATTTTGGTTCGCACATGGTATCGAAGGTCTAGCAAGTGTTATATATCCTCTCTGGTTCACCCAGGTTGAAGTCCTGGCATAATTGTATGCTTGAGTGCTTCTGGGATATCTAATATCGGCATCACGACATCACGTCAACTTGAATTTTGGAGACATGCATGCCGAAAGATTTGGTAAGTGTTTATTATTATTGGTTATGCCTACAAGTCCAAGGTGTGCTATGCTTATTATTTATTGTTAGAGTGCCATTTTTTTTTCTCAATAGTACATATATCTGACTTTCAAAATCCCTCTGGTCTAACAAAACTTTTTATGATTATTTTGATTCTAGTTCTCAAATTTCTTTTTAAATTTCATCCTTTCGTATGTGTAGCAACTGAACTAAATGAGAAATTGTTTCTAATCTACGGAATTATGTTGAGCAATTAATTTTGTTACCTAAATGTTTGACCACAGTTGCAGTTTTGTCAAACATGACCAAACTGGCTGGCATTTTCCTGATGACCGACTGTCAGTTCTAGCTCATTATTTCTTATATAATACTGGTAAATGCTCAGTCATATTGATCATTGAAGTGCTTGCCATATGCACTATTCCTTGTGTTGTCCTTTATGTGAATCGCATACTTATGTTATCACTGCAACACACTTATTAAAATTATTGCATCTGAACGAGTCAGGAAAGGTTTTTTAGAGATTGGGGAACTCACACTGACACACTTGACATTGCCAGTACAGGTAAGAAAATTCTCTTTTCACTGGGTTCAATGTAATACCCAGCTTAGTGAGTTTGATGGGATGTTAAGCCAGCTTAACATCCCATAAAACTTGCAATTTATTATAACAACGTATACAAAAAGAAAACTTATTTCTTTAACATGTGATATAAAGGACCGTTATCATCTCTTTAAACACCACTTTGAAAAGCTATGCAATACCATTTATTAAACATTTCAATTAAATAAGGCTCCAGTTTTGTGAACAAGCAAAATCCCTTTGACACTCTCATTATTTGGGACCGTTTTGTTAGGTCTGCTACAGCAGGAGTTAGATACTAAGCTACAGTTCTGGAAAACAAAACAACAGGAAGTTGTTGCAAAGTTGTCCATTCTTCGAAAAAACAAGAAGTACCCAAAGGAAGTCCAGAATTATGTTGCTCAGTATCAACAGGATGCCTACAAAAATGTAAGTGATGTAATAAGTTTTAATTACAAGCAATGCATACTTGAAACAAACAGGAACCATGACAACTCTTTAGCTATTGCTTTATCTGGCAGATGGCAAAAGAAATATGCAATTCATTTTACAAGTTCACTGACCAGTAAGTCAATATATGTTATGTAGCCTTCAAGTAGAGTGCTACATTGTATAAACTATGCAATATAGTCATATGCATGTCGAATGCCTTACACAGAATTTTTCGCATGTAACAAAGTTAATATAAGTAAATATAAAGTAGAATAAAAGAGGCTGACAAATAGTTTCCATCACTTTCCAGCTCTTATTTTTAGATAGGCCATTCCATAGGTTATTGTCAGTTACTGCTTCAAATGTGGCTATATATTTGCTGGGAGATGTTGAAAAGGTGGCTCCAAAGCTCGAAAATTGCTTCTAGGAAGTTCTGTTAACTTCGGCGATGAAACCACTCCCAGGAAGTTTTGGTAACTTTGCAAAATGTTGTATCTTATCAACATGCTGATCATACAGGAGCGCTTTTAGAAGTATAAGGTGGCCAGAAACCACTCTCAGGAAATTTTGTTGACTTGATAAAAAGTAAAGTTGTATCTTAACATACTTATCATGCAGTTCAATAACAAAAGATGGTAACACTGTAATTGACACAGCAATTTCCAGATTGCAGCGTAAATGTGATTTAAACGAGTCTTTACTCTGTCTTCCAGCGCACACTATTACCTGGCTCAACACGGGAGAGAGAAGCTTTATCCGGCAATGTTTTGAAGAAATGTTGCAAAATGTCAAGCCTGGCTTATTAAGCTTGGTATTGGTTCCGGTAAACATGGACAATGTACATTGGGGACTAATGGTCCTCGATGTAAAAAACAAAGAAGCGTATTTTGATGATGGCCTTGGATATTCTTTCTCCAAAACTTCTTATGTCTTTCTTATCATAAGTGAGCTTCAGTCCAAGTTTCCAGACTGCGATGACTTTTCTCTGGATGACTGGCGTAATGCAAAAACATTCAAAAGGTTTGGAATGCCGAGACAACCGACAGATGGCCAACTAATTGGAAGCGGCAGTTGTGGCGTTGGGGTTATTCTAGCGGCCCTTGATTTTATGACCTCTTCACAACCTCAAGTTGTTTCACGGTCGTGGAATTTCAGTGAGATGACAGCACACAGGAAGGACATAATGAAACTGCTTGCTTGCCGGTAGTTTATTCTCTTCGAAGCCATAAGCCAGCTACAAGTTTGGCCAAAACGTTTGAGACACTGCCGCGAAAAGAGAAATTTTCTTTACGCTCCCTTCTCCAATTCACTAATTATCAGTAATTCTTACCATTAAACTTTTGTATCTTTTAATAAGTTGAAAATGTTCGGCTACTTCCATGTTAAGCAGCAAGACTCTCAGCAAAAACCTTATTCCAAAATTTTCCCTTTCAGTGAATCGCAACGGAACATAGTAGCTTCAAATTTATGACGTCAGGTTTATGACGTAACCTTATAACATACTATTTACACTGGAAAAATCAAATGTACAGCTGTAAAGCTAAAGATGACATGAGAATGTCGTGCAAATTTAAAAATGTTACTTTTTTAACTTTTTGTTACTCTGTTGTTTTACCACTGTTTAATTTTAACGTCAGAGTACTTTTCAATCACCAAATGTTGTCAAGTAAGTTGTATAACTAAGTTTTGATTTGTTTAGCGGCCAGTGGATGGTTTTCTTTACAAAAATTGTCTTCCTTACGATAAAATAAATATAGCAAGATTCGTTGTTACCACGTGGTAGTTCTTATTAAAACAGTTTCTCCAGTCGCGTGTGTTGGGTAAGACATGGTTAAAGCCAACTTCAATCCTCTGGTTGGCTATCTACCAGCTCATATCCAATGCGTACTCGTGGAATAATTGTTAAGTATTTCTGTTAGATTATGGAATGGAAGAACCTGGAAAATGATGTTATTCCCTCACGATGCTACCTTTCATTACTATTATCAGAATACCCTTTCCATCATAGCGGCTATTCGGCTATTTTTTTAACGTAAGAATACCCTCTTTGAATGAACAAACAAATAATTGTTCAATAAGTTCCAAATTTATTCATCATCCAATTTTTTTTTTTTTTTTTCGGGGGTGTCATTTCAAATAATATGGAAATGTAATACGGAAACGTGGTGCCGAAAACAAAAAGAAAAAGGGGGCGAAAACCAATGATCCAAAAAAAAAAAAAAAAACCGTAGCGTACTTATTCAAGTTATGTAGTTCGGTCGATTAACACACTCGCAGGCATTCCTACTGATCGATAACGTTACCAAGTGTTTTCACTTCGCGTGTGAAAGCTTGCCTCAGTGGGAACTTTAGCATCATATAGTGGGTGGGGGAGACTACCGCGAGCGGGCTTTGGATGTGTCCTATTTCAGTCGTGTACTGGTTGAAATAAAAAAAAAATGCAGTATGATAGACGGCTGGCTTTTAAAATATAAAAACGTGCGACTTCAGCCTGGGAAATTGTTGAATACACTGCGATAATTTCGTACCGTGTAAAACGGCCCGAAGTGTATACTGTAAAATTCTGGTTAGATTATCTACCTGCAGACAAAACAATCCGGTTATAGGCCCCCCGATAACCCCCCTTTCCCCCTCTGCTGGATGACAGTGCTAACTGGAAATTTTGCTTTAATATGACTTTAAATTAAAAACGAATTTAGATCAACATTACCATGGCTTGTTTCCAAACGCTTTTCAATCCGCTAAACCTACCCAAAACCCTTTACAAAGTTTTATTATATGGCTGCGATAGTACGCGCGCTCAGATTGGTTAGTTAGCGGTCCGTAATCCCCCGGTAAACGCCCACGGGCATAGCAGATTTTTTCCGCCACGGTTTTGGTTTACAAAACCTAGCGAACTTAGTGACTTGCGCTGAAAGGAACTTCGTTAAAAAAGCAAGAAATTGAACAAAAAACGTATCTCTTCTTTAACTATGCGTTCTGAAAATATTTCTTTTCTGAATTTTATTATCCTGACGAAATTGTGACGGAAAATGAAGGCAATGTAGAAGTTCACTCTATTTCGCGCGCTTTACCTACTTGAAGCCATATTATAGAAAAACTTAATAACCTTGTTTGCTCGGGCTTTACTGTAAAATTCCATAATTTCGGGCCGAAATTTTGATTTATGGACCTCGCCCAGAGGCTCGGTCCATAAAGCAAAAATTTCATCCCTCAGTCTGGAATTTTACAGTTAAGCCCTCGCGCCCGGTTATTAAGTAGTTAGTATTAGGCAAGGGCTTATAACCGAAATTTTACAGTATCAAAAATTTAACATGCTGAATTCGCACTACTTCACGGTTTAAACGGCTAAATTTCGCCGTCAAATCCAGCAACGTTCTCATTTTGATCGACATACCCGTTTCGTTTGTAGTCGTGGCGTGAGCGTGTTGCGTGCATTAATCGAAGGCAAAAGTCGTGGCGTCCGGTTCGTCCCTTGTTCATTTCAGGCAGACTTAAAAAAGGGGGAATTTCGCGTGAGTGTTAAAAATGACCCAAAATGACGAAATCCGAGATTCGTTCAACAAAAAGGGTCTATTATACTCTTTCTTAGTATCAATTTGCTGGCACGTACGTATTTGTCTGGCGGTTTACGGTCCAGAAAATAGAGCGGTTTCAGAAAAGGAAAGCTGACTTGGAAAGTCAGCAAATAAAGTCGGCTCGTCCGCTTTCGCTTTTGTTCCCGGCCTATTGATAAAAATCAAAGAGCCAAAATACGTCATTCACTCCAAACGTGGCATACATTCACTGACACGTTTTGAATTACCAAAATAGAAATTTTAATTATAAACGCACACTCTCGTTTCAGGATTATAACACGCTCGCGCGAAAGTTCGCACTTTCAGCGTAACATAAATGATCAGTAGCAGGGATATTGTTACAATGGAATGTTACAAGCTGCTGGACGTCAAGCTGAGATCGTGGAGTAAAACTCCTCGATCTCAGCAGGATCCAAAGCTCTTTTTTCGGTTGCTAAGAACGTCTGGCTCGTCATGGTTCGTGCACGCAGGAAAGGCCATGACATTCAGCGAAAATAATGGCAGATAAAGATGATATTTGCTGTCAGAAGAACGCAAATAAGATAACAGAAGGCTTAAGAAATTTATAGAAATGTTACCTTAAAAAAAAGAAAGCTAAACAAAGTTTTTGTACTTTTGGAGAAAGGTCACGCAGTCACGCCACAAAGGCTGTTTCTGAAGCGTGGAATTTCTTTATGGTGGAAAGTGGAAACGACATCTTCCAGTTTTATTTTCTGGAAAGATAGCGCAGTTTATGAATTTGATGGAACTATAGATATTTCCTTTCAAACGAAGGGGAAGAGTTTCTCGTCATCCAGCACGCGACATGTGACTTAAAATCTCCTCTCCTGTTGCAGTTTCCTTATTGTGAACTGTGCAATAATGATAGTAAACAATCAAATCATAGACCAGTTATAAAATTAAGGTTTTGTGCCGCACAAAAGCCATATTTCCTGATTTTAGCAAATCTCCAAAGTATTAAACGACAGAAGAAAGAAACCCTACGATTCTCCCATCAACATTTCGTCAACATGCCTCTCTCTTAACATTTAATTATCCTTCCTACAAAAAGAAGTTGTTTACATTTCATAGCCTCCTAATCAATAACCATGAATAACAAGCTATGAAATATAGGTTTATTTCTCAAGTGACAGCTTAGAGCCAGAATTGCGTGACAGGTGTGGTTGATAGAAGCTTGTTACGGTCTCAGATTTTAAAAGGCATCCAAAACAAAAATACGGCAGTGCCCAAATATTTTTTCGAAGTTATTCAGAGATGAAATGATGGATTATAAAGAGGAATTAAGATTAGTGTTGCAGCTTTCAGGCAAGGAGAGATATTTGACCCCAAAATTATCAAAATTTGGATGAATCGAATAGTCTGAAAACACAGTCATTTATTTGCCTCTGTTGATTGATAAGCTGTCATTCAAATTGACTGCTACTTACGTCTTATATTTATTAAGGATGTAACAATATATTTATGCAAACTCTCAAAGTATTCAGTCGAATACCATCGCAGTGAGAGCTTCATACATTCAACCTATTTTGAAGCGATTTTCTTGGAAAACCAGGAAAAACTAGGGGTGGTCAATCTCCCCCTGGAAATGACCAAAACAGAGACCATTCTGTCTGTGTGAAATTTGGGCTAGAGCCTTTAAACTAGCAAGGTTTCATTGAAATCGGTGGAATAGCATGTAGCACGACTGTCTGATGCTCTCGTGGACACACTCTTAAATTCATTTTATCGATTTCTGTCGGTGAAATTTGTTTGGAAATTGTCTGATTACAAAATTCGCTTACCTTCAGGAACAACACAAAATACGCCAGCCACTCGACCGTTTATACAGCTATGAGATTTCCGACCATCATGGGCACAGAAAAGTAACGATCTTTCAGTTCCCTGACACTGCACATTATTCATCCACACCTCACCAACCGTGTTTGCGGAACTGCTGTATGATGAAGAAGCATTTGTGTATCCTAACTCTCGACAAAGCACATCAGCATTCTGTTTATTCCATTTTTCACTGCATATCCAGCCCCATGTCTTTTCGTGATAAACTTGAACCAGACCCTCGCCTAAATATTTATCTCCACCTAGGCGAACTAATTAATAGCAAAAAGATCGGTGTTAGTCGTTCCTAAGCCAAGTTATAGGAGTGTATATTTTCCAAGCGAATGCGTCTTTAAAGTATTTAGGGGTCATATATGAAAAATATCAGTGGATCTATGGAGGATGAACTTTAAAGAATACGACTTAAGTGACTAGATGGCTACCTCTATACCTCATACGCGATTTATGTGAAAATGTTTACAGTCAGGACAAAGTTAGCCTAAGGAAGAGGCAAAGAGCTTATGGAAAGGTGACAAGTGCTATTCATAATCTTCAAAGACTATTCGCACCTTGTCAAATACGGTCTCAATACCGCCACTACAGAGAAAGAAAATTAAAAAATTTTATCCATTAACGACAGAACACAAGGAGTAAGCGTTCTTCCTATAGCCATTAAGGTCTGCAATAATAATATTACATGATTTTTTTTATGATCATTTCACCTTTTGGGATGCAGATCACACTAGCATCTTGGTTGTGTTTACAGTCTGTTACTCTCCATCCTTTGTGTACACACTGAGATATTGCAGTCTCCTGTCCGGTACAGTTGATGTCATCCATCCATATCATTCCAGAGCCTTTTCCAAAAGCAGCAGAGCGAAGTCCTGTAATTGCCCCTTCAAATCCGAGCTGACGACAGAAGACATTTGTTTCTGGATTGTCCCAATAATCATGACAAATTGTACCCCATTCTCCATTGTAGAGTATTTCTGCACGACCATTGTAAGGTGCTGTTCCATTAACAAGCCTTACTGTTAAGAAAAGATTAACCAATTGTCAATAAATTTAACAATAAATAGTTTTCCTTCAAATGTTATGGTTACTTGAACCAAAATTCAGTTTTCAAACTTATTCAAATACCTTTGGAGTTGGGTTGAGTGCGGTTGCAGAAATCTCACATGAATTTTAATAAAACACTTTGTAACAGATTCTATGTAAAAAGGCATCTTGCAGTAAGAGTCAACTCAACTCTTACTATGTATCTTACAAATTAAAAGTCCGCTTACAAATACAAATTAACTAGAGCCAACATTTTTTTACCGTACTGCTATGCACCATTTCATAGTTACCGATCACAAAAACTTTAATTTGACATGTTAGATTACTACTTCAACTACACCACAACATAAGGCACTATTGTCGACCCAAACTGTTGCATGATAAAAAATCGCAAGGAAAATCGGGAGTTACTAATCTTATCATCAGATTACAGCTGCAAGCTCGCTTTACCTACTATCTATCACAGAATAGATAGCGAGTCGCGTGGCCAATCAGATTGCAGAATTTTTGATAGAACGTTAGAGTGCGTTAGCCCGTAAATTAAAAACTGATAATATTTGGAGTTAAAAGTTGATGTTGACCTTTTGGAATACTGCAAACCACACCAGCAAGTTGACCTTTTGCACAGCTGTGATCTTTCCATCCATTATGTGTACACGAGACTAAAGATCTTTCGCTTCCATCGCACTGTACGTGATTCATCCAAATCATTCCGCCTTTATCAACCGGGTTACTGTACAAAAGTGTAGCATTTTCGTACCCCAGCCCCTTACAAACCACGTTTGCATCCGTGTCGTCCCACAGCTGATTACAAATCCATCCCCATGCCTTGTTATGATAAACCTGAACCAGACCTTGGGTAGCATTGATTTCTCCACCTACACGAACTGTTGGAAAATAATTGCATAATTTCACTTAAGGCCCCGAATGTTCCAAAGGGGGGATAACGTGGTTAGAGCAGTACACTTTGTTAAAAATCATCAACTTGATAGCCATTTATCCGTTCGATAGCATTACCCGCCCCTTGAACAACTCGGCCCAGGCATGAAAATTGCAATTTTAGACCTTCAAGAAGGGTCCCTTCTTCCGCACAGAAACATTTTGACTTGAGTGCGATCTAGCTCTCCGTATAAGACCAAAAGGAGAATTTCGTGGTGTTTGTTAGCGATGTCTATTTTTTTGTTGTTGGTCTTCTCCTTTCCTTTTTTTTTAGTTTCTTTTTTGCAACTGGTACCTTCATTTACCATTGTGGTACGCATCATCAAACGTGTCTTTGAAATTACATCACAAGAGCATTAAACAGCCAAATTCTGCCACGATCGAGTGAGGTAGGCCAAGGCTTCCTTTTCCAAGATTGCTTACGCAAGAATTAGCTACGGGTTTAAGGCATCTTTAAACGTAAATATATCACCCGCGGTTATTAACAACCTCTCCTCTCTCAAGAGGAATACGATGAATTTACACAGCATTTGCAAATACCAAAACTTTCAGATGACGATCGGGACAACTTGGAAGGTCCTCTAAGTTATGATGAGTGCAAAAATGTACTAGAATCTTTCCAAGGTGATAAGGCGCCAGGTGAAGACGGATTCACCGTGGAATTCTATAAATTTTTCTACGACCTATTAGGCGAAAATCTTCTGGCATGCTTAAACGAGGCTTACGAGAAAAATGAACTTACCATCTCGCAAAGAAGGGGCATTATTACTTTATTACCAAAGAAAGACGGCTCTTTACTCGACCTGCATAACTGGAGACCGATAACCCTACTGAATGTCGATCAAAAATCGCTGCGAAAGCAATAGCTAAAAAGATTAGAAACGGTTTTGCTGAACTTAATACACCCAGACCAAACAGGCTTTGTAAAAGGACGCTACATTGGGGAAAACATTAGACTTATAAGCGATGTTCTAGACCTAACAAAAGAGCAAAAAATTCCGGGCATTCTTATAGCTCTTGATTTTCGTAAGGCTTTTGATTCTCTCGAATGGCCCTTTATTATGAGAATTTTAGATGCTTTTAATTTTGGTAGCAGCATAAAACGTTGGATAAGTACATTCTATACGAACGTGGAGAGCGCGGTGTTGAATAATGGGTGCACAACGAATTGGTTCAAACCGTCGAAAGGTGTGAGACAAGGCTGTCCTCTCTCACCGTATCTGTTCATCCTCTCAGCCGAATTAATGTCCATAAAACTACGCTACGACTCGGGGGTCAAAGGCATTAATTTGTTTGGCAACGAACTTAAACTGCCACAATTTGCAGACGACACAAATCTGTTTTGTGCAGATTTAAATTCCGTGGAAAAAGCTTTAAATACAGTCAATGACTTCGGTAGGATAGCTGGTTTACAGCTAAACATGAAGAAAACAAAAGCGATTTGGCTTGGGAAGTGGGCTAACAATAAAACCAACCCGTTGGGCACGAAGTGGACGCATACCCCGGTTCGGATCTTAGGAATTCACTTCTCGTACGATAAGAAGGGGAATGATGACCTTAACTTTAGCCTGAAATTAAGGAAGCTACAAACAAAATTGGATATGTGGAGTGCTAGAAGCCTCACGCTATTTGGAAGAGTTTTAATAACCAAAACTCTAGGTATCTCACAGATCATTTATTCCGCTTCAAATATTGAAGTTCCTGATACAATCGCAGACACGCTGAAAAGAAAGTTGTTTAACTTTATATGGAAAAAGAAGAAGGATAAGATCAAACGAACCGTGCTTTACCAAGATTTAGAGGAAGGTGGGCTACGCATGACAGATGTAGATCTTATGTTTAAAGCCTTGAGACTTGCATGGATCCCTAGACTTTTGAATGCTGGAGATAAAAATTGGTGCTCTGTGCCAACCACTATTTCAGGAAAAAGGGGGGCTTAAATTTTCTTCTAAAATGCAACTACGACACAAAGTACTTCCCTCAATTGCCAGCCTTTTATAAGAACATTCTCAAATTCTTTCAAGAATTAAAAATACTTTACGGTTACGACCAGGAAAGTGATGTAGTACTGTATAATAATAAAGAAATTCTAGTAGAGGAAAGACCCGTTTATCTCAGCAACTGGATGGAGAAGGGTATCGTTTCTATTAAAGACTTGTTGAAGGAGGATGGTAGCTATCTCTCATTCCAGGAATTTAAAGGAAAGTTTTCTTGCAAGACAAACTTCCTCCAGTATTTTCAGATTATTAGTGCCATACCTGACCGGCTACGGTCGAAAGCAAGACAAATAGAATCAGTTAATAATCAGTTTTTCACAAGTAATGATCATCTTTTTCACCTCAACGGAAATTTCACGCTCAACCTTGATAAAGCCAAATCAAGGGATTTCTATAATCTTTTAATTGCTAAAATCCACACCGGAGGTCAGGCAGGTCCTAAAAGATGGAGCGAAATACTTTCTTTGAATGATGAAAAATGGGCAAAGATATTTAAGTCAATACGAAAGCTGTGCAAAGAAACAAAACTAAAAGAATTTCAATTTAAGTTTATTCATAGAATCGTGGTGACAAAGAGAGAACTATTCAAATATGGTATTAAAACTGACGAAGAATGCTGCTTTTGTGGGGAAAAAGACTCAATCGATCACACCTTTATTCACTGTCCCTTTACGAAATCATTCATACAGAAAGTCATTCGGTGGTTTAACACAACGTACAATTCACAGTTCTCTCCAACTATGGAGGAACTTTTATTCGGAATTACCTCCAACTTAAACGAGAATAGTACCACCAAGAAATTCGACTACGTCACACTATTCATGCGTTATTATATCTATAGTTGTAAACTTAACAACAAGCCCATTGTCCTCCACGACTTTGTGAATGCAGTTCACCAAAGGGACCTAATTGAAAATACCGTCAATAACTAGCTCCTGACAAATGCGGTTAAAATATCTCGACTCTCTTTAAAAAATACAAAATAAAATAAAAACAAAATTTAAATGATAAAAAAGTAAATAAATAAAAAACTTAGTGGTACACCTGCCAACAGTGAAACTCTCACCAAAACACTTCAAACAATACTCCTTACGTTCTTTTTCTTTTTTCACTTTTGTTATAGTTCCTCATTTAATGTATCAAAGTCTCAATGCACAAATGTAATTTAGCAGTAATAGCTTTTCAATCAACGTATTGTATTCGGATATGGTAAAGTTATCGTTTTATGTTATTCATATTGTATTATTGAACTTTATTGTAAGTAGACTAACATCTCCCTTTGGAGAGTACGGCGCAATAAAGAGATACTATTAAAAAAAAAAAAAAAAAACAACCTCTCCATACCTAGAAACAAAGATTTTATGGACAGAGTAGACGTGACGCAACAGTTACAGCTCTGTTTACATTATAAGTAGTAATCAGATTCAATGAATTCGCACGGTTTTTTCTGGTCCTTTCTTGGTTTGTTACAGTCGAACCTGTATTAAGTGTCACTCACGGGGTATGGCGAGGTCACCGCTCGATACCGGTTGACCACTTAATAGAGGTTCCACAGGGATCAAACGCTATAAAAAAGAACCTCGTACAATTTCTGAAAACCAAAAAAAAAAACAGCAACAACAACAACAAAAAAAAATTGCTGAAACTTGCATTGAATCAATATAGAGGAAGATGATACCAAGAGGTAGTTGTGACTCCGTCAAGGGTAAGCAGGACCGCTCAATCGAGGTAAAAATTATAAATATCAAGGGTTAGAGTGTACTTACCTTTCGGTGTGCAGATCACACCGGCGTCTTTGCTGTGATCACAATCTGTCACTCTCTATCCCCTATGCTTACACTGCGTTATCGCTGTTTCGTTTCCAGCACAGTGGACATCATCCATCCATATGATCCCTGACCCTTCTCCAAAAGCAGCAGAACGAAGAGCAAGTAGCGCTCCTTCGAATCCCAGCTGACGGCAGAAAACAGAGGCTTCTGGCAGTTCCCAGTAATCATGACAAATTGTTCCCCAGCTGCCATCATAGGATACTTCGACACGACCTTCATATGAGGCAGTCCCGCCAACTAACCTTACTGGGGATATTAAATGTTTACCTTTCAGATGCCACAGTTACTTCATATGAAAGTTGAAACCCTTCATGTCATTTGATCTTTGCTGGTTTGAAAAGATTTTGTTGCTAAGCCTAACGCATCTGTTCGAATGTTGTGAACACTACAAGGAATTAACCATCACTTTTCGTTAGAGTTTATGATTCTGTTCACTTGCATTGTTTACACCCTTTGCCATAAAAACGGATTAAGTTGGTTAAAGTATCGAATTTACAAGCCAGGGCACACCTCTAAATCTGTGAAATAATTTTTTTCCGAACAGGATAAAAAAAGAGAGCTGCTACATTTGTGGAATTTTCTTTAAAAATTGCAAAAAGGTACCTTAAGGATTTTATGGATATTTTCGATACTTTTTTAGAGGAGAAGTATGCTACAAGACTAAACTTTGATCAAATTTGATCATTGATCAAGGTGCAAGTGAAAAAACTTCAAAACCATACCATAATTATGTTATTTGTTATTCTTTGGATACGATACTCCTACCTTCAGGTACGCTGCACTCCACACCTGCGAGTTGACCATTTGTGCAGCTATGTTTCTTCCAGTCTTCATGGTCACATAAGACAAGTGACGTTTCATTGCCAATGCACTGAATATTTTTCATCCATATAACACCACCTTTATCTTTTAAACTGCCGTAAACCATAGAAGCCTTTGTGAAACCTAACTCTCTACAAACCACGTCGGCATCTTGTTTATCCCAACCCTGATTACAGATCCAGCCCCACGTTTTGCTGTGGTAAACTTGAACTAAACCTTTGTGGGAGAACACTCCTTCACTCAAACGAACTGTTGGAAACATAAAAATTAGATCAGATCTGCAAAAATATTTAAAAACAAAGTGGAAATATATTTTTTGTTTCGCGTTGGTTTTTACTTGTCTTTTGTCACATGTCTGTCCAATAACACAACAATTCTACTGGAGAACTAACCGAAGAAATTCAATAAACGTATGACTGAGAACTAACCAAAGGAGTTCAACAAACAAATGAACAAAACGTTTTTTGTGAGAAAGCTATATTGCACCGAACTTTGGTATTGCATCCTGGTTTAACGAAGGCAAGAGATATTTGGCACTCACATTAATTCCTCTAACATCTAGTTTTAACAAATTACCAATTGGAATGCAAATCACACTAGCATCTTGGCTATGATCACAGTTCCGAATTCCCCATCCCTTGTGTCCACACTGGAAAATTGAGGGCTCATCTCCTTTACAATCAACGTCATCCAACCATATCTCTCCAGTTCCCTTTCCATAAGCAGCAGAACGGAGTGCTATAAGGGCACCTTCGAAACCCAACTGGCGGCAGAATACATCAGCATCCGGCATTTCCCAATAATCATGACAAATTGTTCCCCAGACACCGTTGTGCAAGATTTCAACACGACCTCTATTGAGCGCATTTCCTTCGACTAGCCTGACTGCAAGGTAGAAAAAAGAAAGAAAACCTATGAAACAATCAAATATAAAAAAAGAAAATGATTGAGCACATGACAATCATGAAGGGGAAAATAACGTGAATTAGAAAGTTTACCCAAGTAACCAACAAAACGCTTGTCACTTCATTGCGAAACAACCAGTTGTAAACATGACCTCAGTTCCGCAGATTGATTTCAAAATAGTCGCCTCATGCAAATATAATCATTTTACTTTGACCTTTGCTGTATGAATGTACAGCAATTACGAACTCGAATATACATCGTCACTCTCGAAATTGACCCCAAGAATCAGAGATATTCCTCAGCTCTGATTACTCTTTTTGTTTTGTGTCGTTATTGACAGCAAGAAAAGAAAGATATGATACTTTTATGCATTTCACGAAAAGTTATTGCTACAACTCAAATGAGCAAAGGGCAACTTACCGTTTATATTACCAAGAGCACTGTTTGTCCATTTTCGCAGTAGAATTCCTAAAAGTCCAGCCAATCGAAAGGTAAAAAATGAGTGAGTATCGAAATGATTATATTTCATAACAAATAACTTCCTTTTAGACTGCTGTAGAATTTAAACGTGTTAACCGTCACTCTGAGCATATATAATTAGCATATATGTTTCCTCACGTAAATGCATGTCGTGCACACATATATAAATTTTAGTTTCGCACCATTTGCGGGCAGATCGATCTATCTCAATAATCAAAGTCACTCAAGTTAAAAGATATCGACCAGCACCACAAGGAAACTTTTGTGTGTTCGTTTCCACCGTCGCTTTTTGCTCATACCGATCATCATTTATTCTTTCGTAATCAAGCCAAATATCAACACACCACACCAATCGCATCAAACACATCTGTCACATCAGCGTGCGTTCCAAATCCCCTCAAAAACTATAACACACGGTTAATCGTTTGTCAATTACAGACCGCTAAGCTTTATGTAGACATAGCCAAAAATACCATCGATTAGAATAGTTTCCTGTCTGTGAAGTGGACCTAAATATTACACTTTAAGTAATCTTGGGATGTAAAAGGATTAGAGCCCTAAAGAGAAGGCACAAGCAACGATAGCTTAGAAACCTATTTAAAACTGGAAAGTGAACTATTGATTTGCTAGGTCCTCATATTTCAAAAAAGCACAAAGGATTCTTTATCATCATAGAAGGTTTAGCGCTTTGAACCGCGCGAGCGAAGCGAGGAGCGCCTTGCGAATGTCGTCACTGAGCCTTGATTTAATAAGAAATCGAGTAAATGAGTTCTGGGTAAAAGTTTAAATGGTTTGCTGTAACGTATTTTTCCGACAGATGTTTAATTTATTTAGGAACATCAGGTAGGTACTTAGCACAAATTTCAATCATGGCTGCTCTCAGCTGTTGTCCTGCCATGGAATTTTAAACAACCATGCGAAACCTTAGTGAAATATTTTTAGCACTTATCAAACCTTAGAGAAATATTCCTAGCACTAATTAAGCTATTTTGCTTACCAAATCAAAGAAATAGGCAGATTATGCCTAACATAATGGATAAAATCGATCCTCAACCGAGTAGAAATGCATTTTGTACTGTGAAATAAGTTATATGGATACGTACCCGACAACTGCAACAGAAGAATCCGATAGAGTCGATAATAGCTTATCCACCACATGTTTGAAGTCCTACTACGAAGATTGAAAATAAGGAAGCACAAGACAAGCAAATATGTAAGTACTTTAAGCGAAGGGAAAAGACATAATTCACCATCCCTTAGCTATAGGTGCTTTCTTTCTCGAGTTCGAGTTCAGTTATCGCTCGATAATGTTCATCAGTAAATTCATTAGTAATGGTTGACTAACGATTCAAATTGTGTAACTTGGTATGGTTGACGGCATGTTGGGGAGAAGAGCACTGAACTGAAAAAGTATCTAACACGCAGTGGCTATGGCTAAGTGCCAAGGAACTGGCTTTCACGGACTAATCGTTCGACGGTCTGAAATTTTCAGAGAATTTCCAATGAGGCTCGTCTCGAAATATCAAGCAAATTTATTGTCGAATTTCCGGTGGATGGGAGTGCAGTGTTTTTACTGGCTACACGCACGCACCTTCCGAAGCTAAGGTTTCACTGACTGAAAATATAAACATACACGCTTGTGGAGGTGAATTGGATAGTTTATACTTGTTTCCACTAGATTGAATCGCTTTTATGTCTTCCTGTGTTAAATTTGGCGAACGGTTAAAGATTTCTCGGCTTTTACTTAAAAACACGATGTAGCAAAAAATGTATAGCATTCGCACATGTAGAATTGAACACCCACTTAATATTAACTTATTGTTTACTTGTTGTCTTTGCACCTTGTTTAAAGTCTAAATTTTGATTTATCTCTCACGTTTGTGACAGTTACAGAGCTGATAACTGTCCCATTTGGTGAAATCAGTCATACAACTTGTGTTCTCTATTTCTTCTGTTCAACATCGTGAAAAAATTGCTATTTCACTGATTTTTTTTTTTTATTACAAGTTATCAGTATGGAAACTGCCTATTAATGTGGAGGGAGAAAGAAAATATCTTTTGCCAAGAAGCAGATGTGGAAAAAAATTTGGAGGATGTTACAACAGAAGCCAGATGTATTGTCCAGCATCCAGGGTTTGAGGAAACTCGTGAAGGCTGACTCCGTCTGCATTTGTTTTGTTACAAAACGTCATCACACAGCGCTTCTCAAGTTTTCGTTTTCTTTGGTTTACATCCTGTTGTACATGTTAACGCGGCTAAAAATGGTACAGTTTTGGATAACTTGAGCGTGAACATCCTATCCTCTTGACTGACAAATAGCACATTTCGAAGACCGTAAGGGCATTGCTCTCTTGAAAGATGGCTTCAAATCGGACTAACCGTTTTCAGAGCCTAGATTCATAATTAGAAGAGTTCATAGACAGACAGGAAAATGAAAACACCAAGAAAAAGACCAAACACGATGTTGCTCTGTTCCACGAATTTCTTGTTTTGAAAGGCGAGACAATTAAGGAATTTGAGCAGAGGCGTCCCAAGCTCACATCTCGAAAAAGACTAAAGATTAATTCTCGGACACATATGTATTTCTTAATGAAAGCGTCACGCGTTGTGTTACGCGGTGTTTGGTTTCGCGAGGAATCGTTGACTTAATACGTTATACGGAATAGTGTGGGAAACCAAATATGGTCGATTTACAACGCTAAATATTCCGAAATGTGAACATTTCACACTCCTTGTGTGTCCGTTGCGGTTTCTGATGATTTCTGCGGTGAGACGGCTAGGAAATGTACAAAGTTTTAAAACATACATGTTTCGCTTTTGAGCTTTTCGTCATGAACGCGACCCCGGTTAGGCGGGTTACCTCACCTTGACACGTTTACATGGCAAATTGTCACCCCGGCTGAGAGGGTTACCCTACCTGGCAGACCGGGAATCCCGCTTAGGCGGGTCACCCCACCTATCATGTAAACGTGATCGAAATAAAATAAGAAATTATAGGGACAGGCGAGTTACCCCACTTAAGCGGGTTATCTCACCTACCTGAGGTCCCCTGCCTCCATGTAAACAGGCCCCAAGTTCGGGGCAAGCTCATCGGGTTCATTTTGATATTTCGTTTATTATCGCATGTTTATTGTGTCAGTTATTTTCATTGTATTTCGTTTGTTAATCGCCACGCGCATTCTTACACGAGTTCCTGTTAATTTATTGATTCCAGTTTACGAGAAAATGTAAACAATTGCAATAAAGATCAGCGTTTAAATTGGTTCGCGGTCTCCGTAACATATCCCCGTATTTCAGCACGTTATACTCATCTGGTCATCATGTTTTTAACTCTCCCACTTAATGTTAAGAATTATCTAAGGATCCGACGATATCTGATGCAGGTTCAGCAACAACTTGAAACTCCCTCCAATATGCATATGCACAGGATCAATACGCCAAATGTAGGTCGTCACCAAAAAGTTGCAACAATGGCCTTTATTTAGTATCTTATCTCATAACACATTTGCCTTTCTTTAGCACATTAGTTACTGCGCATAAAGCTGGATGGTCGATGGCATTGAAAATTGGCTTTACTATGGCACTGAAAATTGTTTACATCACCTCTGCATTGAACTCCGACATGCAGTGTCACATTCTGGGTGTTTGAAACTTGGTGTTGAACAGACGGTGTGGAGGAAAATTATTATTAATGAATATAACTAAACGGCCCATTGAGGTCTTATTAGAACCACCATCATGACCAGCTCCCAGTTGGCTTGTTAGCTCAGTTGGTAGAGCGCTGCACCGGTATCGCAGAGGTCATGGGTTCAAATCCCGTACAGGCCTGAACTTTTTTTCAGGCCTTATTTTCACTACTGCCTAAGTAGTGCACATCACTGCGAGGATCACTTTCATTCATGAGGTCATATTACATAGCAATCTTGTGTTACTGACCCAAATTCTGTTTCATTTTTTTTTCTATCCAAATTAAAGCTCTATCCCCAACCTTGCGCAGTCAATCATATTTCTTTCGTTCTTTCTTTTCTTTCCTACTTTTTATTATTTTTATCTGACATCTCACGGGGCCGTGCGGCTTTTTTTCCTGGCCCTGCAAACGCCAACGCGTACCGTCATAAAATAAGGATTGTCGTTTAATGTCCTTTTTAATGAAAGCGTGAGCGTGACCATACAGGCTCCTAATGAGAAAAATAGTGGCACCATTTAACTTCGACCGGTGTCTCACGTATGAAATGACTATTAGCCTCATATGGATACAACAAACCTCTACATCTTAAGTTGAAACTTATCTTTTTAGAGTAAAAATGAGAGTGAATCAAATTCAGGCTGTAGACTTGACAGGACTAAAATATCCTTTGTATTTTTCCTACACTGTCAGTTAACACTAACACTTTTGTTGTATTGTTCATATTGAGATATTCATTACTTTTTAATTAAGCTTTAGACTCTTAAGGGTAAATACTCGGGTAAATAGGTAATGAAATCGATGGGACCTGGTATTTTGATATAAAGAAAGAAAAGATAGCTTCAATGTAACTTTAAGCTGAAGTATGAACATAGAGAAATAACATAGTCGGTCTAAAATAAATTTGATGGTCTCAGTGGGGTTTGCCGTGAGTCATAAAATGGCAAATACAAATTAGCCGCTAAATTGTCAAATTTTAACCGTTAGTCGTTAAAAAAGCTAACCGTAAGAAATTTTTTTTTCTATCGCGAGGGAAAAAAATTAACCGTTAGCTGTAAAATGGCCAAAATTTTTAACCGTAGTCCTAAGAACCATTAGATATAGCATATACTTAATAAATGAAAAATAGTAATTGTCAATTCCTTAATCCGTTCTCACTCTCAAAAATCTTCCACATTCATAGCTGGATATGCTACCGAGTCTTTTTTGAGAGATAACTCAATCCAAATTCTCGTAGAGCTTGTTGTCGCAGAACTGCATATTAATAAGCCTCTGCCAGAAAAAAAAAAGAAGACGAAAATCAACCAAACAAACCCAAAGCATTTGAATTACCATATCATTTGCTTTTTATTTCACCTGATGTTGATTTTCCATTTCCTTCAAATCTTTCCTAAGATTCTCAAAGGTTGGACGATCATCGGGATTCTCTCGCCAGCAGTCTTGCATGATTTTGTACCTACAAATTAGGATTAAAGGTTTCATGAGGTTGAAAGGTTCTCGATTTACTCCATTATATTTTAAATATCTTTCTTTGCTGTTGATGATCTATTGTAAAGGAGGATTTTATTTTTTTTTTACCGTTGAAAGTTTATCGATCATGAAGAGCGAGAAAAAGTATATTATTACCACGTGAATAACTCAAGGATGAACAATAATTTAAATAATCAGGAGATTCAAATTCATAACCAGCTACTTACAAAGCATTATCCACGTGTCGTGGCCTTGGCATTCTGTAACCCTGTCGAAGTAGTTGTATCACCTGTTGCCCATTAAAAGATGGATAAGGCGAGCCACCTTAAGTGAAGAAGTTAAACATTAAATTAATTTGATCAGTTTTCTTAACTTTTAATGTGACGATCTTGTAGTTTAAAACGAGACGTTTACGGCTTTGGCCAGTCATATTTTTGACTTGAACAATGCATGTTAGGTTAGGAATTTGAAAGGAGTCTGTCTGCAACGTCCTTTTTTTCCATCAGCGAATGTAAGAAATTAACCTCTCTTTCTTCTCTCTTCGTAAATTTAAAAAGAAAACCTATCAGCGACAGTTTACATAAGAAAACTCAATAAATTAAATTTTCTTAACTTTGATCTTAAAGGGATGACCAAGAGCGATTTCTCTTCGAGCAAACTCACAAACCTATCGTGAAGATTTCGTAAAGCACAATTCCAAAACTCCACCTAAATTAGAGAAAACAAACCAAATAAGAAATTGTTCATGGGTAATGATATGCTAACATTGTCTCAACGCATACAAAAGATATAAGACAAGCGTATAAGACAGTTTACTACTTACACATCACTTTTCGTGGTATATTGTCCATACTGGAGTGCTTCAAAAGCCGTCCACTTCGTCGGCACTCTTCGCTTTAATTTGTAGTAGATTACAAGAAAATTTGTGAGAAAATATGTCGAAGAAAAGAGCAAGGTTGTAAAATCATTTTGAGTATTGCCATGAAATTAGATTTCCAGATACCTCTGTTTTCCATTGGTAGGCACCTTCATGGCCAACGTCTCGAGCCATTCCAAAGTCGGTCACTTTACATTTCTCTCGCTCACCAACCAAGACATTGCGGGCTGCAAGGTCGCGATGGATAATCTTTCAAACATAATGCAAAGCACAACTCATCATTACTTCACCCTTGAAATCTACCTCAGAGTTAGGTTCTGCAGATGTGTAACAAAGCGGAGTGATTGTTTTTTTTCTTAATTTCTTTTTTTTTAACACGTTCTAAACCTATCTTTTTTTAATTAATTGTTTGCGTTTTTTAAACTTTCTCAAGGGGTAAGATCAATTGTCATCAAGATACTATAACTTCAAATTTATGATATCATAATTGCGGGATAAATATAGCCGGAAGACGTCATACATAACATTTTTCGCTACACTTGAATGCAGCAAATCAAGCAATTTTGATCCAAATCTTACTTTGGTAAATTGAATCATCGCTACGTTAAACCACACCTTATTACACTTCAATATACATCACTATAAACTTTACTTCACACGCCATATGAATATGCAAGCAACTCACCCGCATAACTGTGACGTTCAGCCCTACAGTTTTGTTTTTGTATCTGCTTTTTCGCATGTTTCTAAGGTAACCGCAGTATTGGAGAACCTCACACAGTAATAATTTTCTCTGTTAGAGAGAAAATTATTACTAACAGAATACATTTTCTAAGTTTCTTAGGTAGGAAAAGAATCTGATATCATCTGTTTAAAGAAGATTACCTTCTTAGACGACAAATATTTCATGCCATCAGCTACTTGCCAAGAAAACTTCATCAACTGCAGAGAAGTCAAACTCGTCTGTGGCCTAACATCCGGGTCGTTGTAGTAATCATCGTCGACATTTCGGCTCCTTTTTAAATAACCCAAAAGATCTCCATAGGGGATATGCTCGATGATTACAAGCAAAGGATCTGTAAAAGATTAAGAACATATTATTCTTATAGTACAATAAATTAGTACGAAAACAAAAGGACTTCCCTTTAAAATGAGTGATATTCATCCGTTCAAATGTATTGGACAAAAACAACTAGTTAAGCTAAAGGAAGAGAAATTGTTAATAAGATACCTAAATAAAGAAACATAGTTGTTACAAGGACCGGACAAAGAAAAAAATCACTCTGCTTCAATACCCTTCGCACTTAGATCAAAATGGAATGCCAGCGAGCTAGTAGCCAATAAGATCCTATACAAGGTTCATGTGTATCATCCTCAGTACAGATCTACGCCGTTGAGATAACCAATGAAGAGAGGTTTGCGTATCGAAAGAGCAAGAAAACGGTGAGTAACGGTGAAGCTGCGGCATCATACCAAAATAAGATTAAATGAATCTGTAAAAATTTTTGGGGCATGGCAGTAAGATGATTTCAAAAGATAAAAGAGCATTTTGAGACCAAACATTTGAAAACATTATTTCCTTTCGTATGCCATTGGTTGGATCTAAAATTTTGTGCAATGTAACTGATTCGTGAATCTATTTACCTGATACAGTGACGCATCCCAGCAGTTTGATAACGTGAGGATGAGGTTTGAGTTTCTTCAGAACTTCGAGCTCTGACAGCAAATCGTTTCTTTCTGCGACTGCATTGTCATCTAGTTTTTTATGCAAACCAAAAAGACCTTCATAAAATTAAGTAAGCATTTCAGAAATATGATATGTGTTTAAATCTATGACAAAACGTGCTTTAGTTTTGAGAACTAAACGAATGTTGGTGCAAGTAGAATACCTCGTAGCATTTTTATGGCCACCGTTATTCTTCCCTCTCTTCCTGGCAAGTTAGTAGCAGTTCCCCGAGCGACTTGACCGAACGCACCACCTCCGATGACCTTCTCAATGATTACATTTTCTCTTTCCACTTCCCATGAGCGGGTTCCCGGATTAAGTGGTGCGTATTCATTCATTTCTAAATTACTCTGCGTTGGTTCTGTATGCTCCCTTTCCTCTAATCTTATTTCACTCAAGGGCATGTCAAGTCCTGAGTCGCGATGCAAGACATCATCAGATATGCTGGTTTCGAGTTCAAGTGCCTCGTTCTGTAATTTAAAAGAAAAGTATACCGCACATAGCAAGACCCTGACATCTCCCTTAAACAACTGAGGGATTACGAAGAAGATGTTTTGCCTTTATTTTGTAGTCTCATAATATTTTATGGGGAATTTTTTAACTTTATACCGGCATTTGGATAGTCGTATAGTCATAGATGCGTTTGTGGATTAGTGGCAGAGGATCTTGCGTGAGTAGCTAAAACTTGGCTGCTTATCTTACTTACAATTTGAGGCCGGAATAGTTCCCGATGGACCACATGCGGTCTGAAAGGAAATCAAACATCGGAAATAGCAGTTAGGAATACTTCAGATTTAGGGATCTTTTCTTCAAGCTAGAACTGACTAACCAAAAATCTTATTAGTCGTGCTCAGCCGGCAGCAAGACGAAATTTGGTTTGGTAACAATGCCATACGTGCCTCACTAAGATTGTGTGTTAACATCGCTGTTACCTAACTTTGACCACGTGTGATAATTTTAAGAAACAACACGAACAATAAGAAACGAAGAATACAAGTTTTAAACAACTGAAGCGTATTCGTTCTATCGACAAACTTATTTAAATATGTATGTCAGCCTGATTTTGCAAAATTGACTGTCGTCTTGCATGATTGAAAGTTGGGCTCAGGCCCTGCCACAGCTCAGTTAGTAGATGAACTCCCTGTGGCTGAAGGGTGATTGATATTTCAAAGGAGCGGGATTGGGAGGGGCTGCAGTTTCAACCCTCAAGCTGTAACCCCAGCAAGGTGGTGTTTGCAATGTCAACAGACCCCACTCCTCAATCCGATCCTTTTGAAATTAAACCACCCTCAACCCTCCAGGGTTGGAACCCAGAGAGAGTCAAATGATTTCAAATTAATTGGGAGTTCGAGTTGTACGGGCTCGAGTCAGCGGGATTCTACTGTAAGCTAAAAAAGTTCCTTCTAAGCTACTAGCAAACTAAGATGGACTTGAGAATCCAAAACTTACCCTTCCCACCTGCTGGCCTAGACATGAACCCCACGCCGTTCTCATCGGCCAGGTTGCCGTCCCCTTCAACCCTAACCCTAAGCGAAACTCTTGCCAGCGGGTGTTTAAAAGCCCTCCCAACCCCCCTGCTTTGGACTCAAAACAACCTTCCAACTATAGAATGTTTACTCATTAGCTGAGCTGTGGCAGGTCTCGAACCAGACTGTTAATCTTATAAGACAGCACACATGTCTTTGCTAATCTAGGCAGGTATATACCTATAAAAATATATTATTTTTTATATCGATGACCTGCTCGCTGTAGGCCACTGCAAATTTTGGGTGTATTAAGGAGTCAACATCATGTCTGTAAAAAAACTCCCTCAAGGCCATCGAACGAGGCTGATAATTATCTGCTGACTGTTGACTACTTACCAATATTTGGGTGTATTTAGGAAAAGCCTCCACTGCTGTAAGAGTGCAACTTGCAAACCCCCTTTCAGGGTCATTGAACAGACAGATAATTATATCTTCCCTGTTTCCTATCTACTAGCCAGATATTCAACTTAAGTAACTTTATCTTACCGATCTCTGTTTTGACCTGAAAATTGCAAGCAAAAAATAAAGAAATAAGTCAGAGAGCGGCTGCATCTATCAATTGCTGGTTATAATTTCCTCATTCCATCCATATGCTTGCTATGAATGGACACTTTTTTTGTAAACAATCACCTGCAATCTATGTTCATTGAAATTTAAGGTGTCAACATAAATTCAAAGGAAGCACTATGTCAGGAGATTTGACATTCTTTCTATTTCTTATTTTTTTCTTTGTTTCTTTCTCAACCCCCTTTTCCGCTTTCTTTCCTGTGAATTTAATCTAGCTCGGACGAGTAAACATCCCTTCTGAGAGTCTCTAACCCTAGGTATGTTCCATTAAAATTAGCATTTCTACTTACGTTTCCAGTGTTTCCAAGATTTGAAAATTATAAAAACTGCAAACACCAAAGCAAGGACTCCAATGACTGAGCCATAAATAGCATCTTTATTAACTTTCGTTGGTTCAGATGGAACAGGACTAGGAACAGGAACTAATTTGGAGTAAATTTGAGATTCATTTCAACAGAAGCAAAGCCCTCATATCATCAGCTCGTTGGTTAAATAATCTAAAAGTCGATCAGTTCATCACAAACAACTCAGTGAGTTCACGTACGTGTCGGGACCAGAAAATAATTACTATATTGAGCTACAGATCATACTTTAAGCTGTACGTATATTTAAGTATGGGTGCACAAGGAAAATTTAAAGAGCACTCGCCTGAGCCTAAAGCAACGTTTACACTCCTCTGGTGTTCTCCAAACCCCCCACGTGCATCCATGCCTCGCTAAGTATGAACAAATTGTTAAATAAAACTGGTCTTCTTGGAGCTATACATTTTGACTATGAAATATATGAAGCCTGTTTTCAATGTTTTGCAGGCGTTTCACCCCAACACTTAGGATGTCAAATATTTTTTCTTCGCAACAGAATTTCATTTATTAGACTCCCGGTCACATACGTCACTGGAGGACATGTGTTAAGTTATATTCGGTATACATGTGGACCTATGCGGAAATTGACTCTAAGTTCAATGAAAACCAGATGTGTTGAAAAAGGCAGCTGTTTTTTTAACGGCCGCTTTCACGGTTGACTTCGTTGATGTTTTTCGTTGAAAAGAATTTTGCCTTTCTCTTAAAGAATTCAAGTGTATACCTTGCAATCAATCGTATACGAATACCATCTTGCTCATATGGTTACATACACTCACCAAAGTGTTGGATTAGGTGTTTCAAAAAGTAAAATTTTTACCGCTTATGGCCTAGAGCTCTGTGTACATTCTGCATTCCTCCACTTGGTTGCTGGTTGCCGCCCTATTAACTAGGATAACGAGGTGGCATAAAAATATCTAATACATCGTACCTTTGACATCAATGGTGGTTTTTTCTGATGCATTACCACATAGATTGCTCGCTTCACAGGTATATTTTCCAGCGTCCCTGATGCTGATTTTTGAGAAAAAAAGTACGTTTCCATTAGTTTTTTTACCACTGCTGTCTTTAATCCAAACGACAGTTGGTGCAGGGATCCCAGTTGCTTGGCATGACAGGTTGAAAGAGGTCCCTTCGATTAACGTATTGTCCTGCATTTCTTCAATGGATGAGGTCACTGTTAATGAAAAAGAAGAAATGTTTCTTGTTGCATAGATAATTTTAGAAACTTAACGGAAGGTCAAGATTCACCCATACAGACCATCGAAGCTCGGTTAATGATAGATAAATAAATATACTACTGTGCTCCATTAACATGACTTTAGCGAAATTTGCATACCTATGATCAGTCTGTTATGAATTATGAAACAAATGAGATGCTAAGAGCGCACCAATTGGTCAAAAACGTATCGTTTATTGCACCAATAAACTCCCCGGCTCATGTTTTACAGTCTTTTTTCGTGTTTCTTCCCTTCGTACTCTTTGAAAAACATTTAGGTAGACCTCTATCGGGATGAATTACGTCTATGAAATTTTGGTTATTTTTAGCCCTTTTGGAACACAGAAATACACCGAAGTAGTATAGAAATCTCTTACGTCTATAATAGCTCTAACTATGGGTTAAATAGATATCCTTCCTACTTCTCTCACTATAGAATGACAGGTGGCCAAAATGACTACTTACTATAGACTAAAACAGGTATGCCGGCGCTAAAGCCAGTCCTTATACCATTGTTCGCCGCACATGTGTATCTTAACACTCCCTCACTTGACATTCTTATCCTCCATACTCCAGAACTGCTGACGTAATCCGTAAGGGAGCCATTCTCGAACAGTTGGTAGGAATGCACCGCGGGTATACTGTCAGCTGAGCAATCAAACTGTACAATATCATCTTTACATACTCCTGCCTTACTCGTCTTTAGTTGAACACTTTCAGGTCCATCTTAAAAAGCAAATCAGAAGCCAATAATCAATATTCAGAATTCCTACATGATTCTCCGAGAAAAGAAGCAATCAATAGTACTTAAATCTTCAACCGGGTAACTCAGGTAAATAAACAGTGATTGTACATAACTTACATTGTACCGCTATGGTTAATGTCAAGGAATCATTGCCGCACACATTAGTGGATTCACAACTGTATCTTCCTGAATCACTTCTGCTAATGTTCTTTATTGCTAACGTTCTTTTTTTAATACGCTGACCACCAGGGTAGATCCAAGTTATCACTGGTGGAGGTACAGCTACTGCTTGGCACAACAGGGTAACACTTCCTCCTTCGCGGACTGTGTTGTCTTGTATCGGTAGTATAGGTGAATGAACTGTTACGAAACAACCATAAGTCATTCCTATTGCGCCTTAAAAACATTTAGTTCTAAAATTTCTCAGGTGTGGGGCTCTTAGAGAGTTCGTTAAATTCCTTTCTCGCGGCGAGGCCCAAATCTGTTTTAGTTTTAGGGAAGTGAAGTCCTTGAGTGTTGCTCAGGGCCTTACTGCAGATTTTTTTTTAATATTTGGAACTCATCAGCATAACAGTTTTACCATAATGACTTTCAATTAACATACAAATAGAATGAATTTACAAGTTTGCTACACTTGTGGGAGGTGGCTGTGATCGAACGAGATAATAAAATGGTTAGTAGTAAGGCTAGAGGATGAGGTCCAACGCCACAAACATAACTACATTGGGTCTTTATAAGCCATAAAATTATCATCCATTAACAAATGCTTGACCTTTGCATAGAACAAAGCGTGGCATAACAGCGGACCTTTGTGGCCTTGAACGTGTTGACGAAAAATTAATTCAATAATGTCAGTAAAGAACAAGTTTCAAAACCATGGTCGCCTTTGTACACATAATTGTGTCTTCAGACAATCAGAAAAATTGTGCTTACCTGCGTCCATTAGTCCTTCAATCAATAAACTGTCGGACAAACTCCATGTTCTAACTTGTTTCTAAAACTTAAGTTCAAAAAGTTGCGTCTTTCTAAATCACAGACATCACATCAGTTACTTACAGTTCACATAAACAACAACTTCCGTGCTGTTGCCAGTACCTATGGCGTTCTTGACTACACATTGATAAAGAAACATTCCCCAACGGAGCATCTTCCTCTTCCATACACCGGAGCTGCTAACATCATTTACGAGAGTGTCATTTTCATACAATTCATACTCATCTACAGCTGGATTTCCATGGGATGAGCATTTGAAGATTATGGTCTCATTCTCACAGGCAACAGACTTACTTGCCGACAAATGAACATTTATGGGAGAGTCTATGGAAACAACACAAACAAACTGCTGCGGCAAATTGCGAACCTGGCTGACAGAATTACCCTACTTTGGAGAGCAGGAAATCCGCTCTGATGGGTTACCCCAATTATTATGCTAACGTGATCAAGATAACAAACAGATTATATGGACAGGCTAATTACCTCACCTAACTGAGGTCTCCCACCTCCACATAAAGAGGCCTAAATGAGTCATTGTTATAAATTACTTGACATAATGTATTTCTAATTTTCTCATGATCCATTCGATAAGACAAGTATTAATAATTAAAGGTATTTACACTATTATGGAAGTCCTATCTCACCAGACCTCATCCTTGTTTTCTTGACATATATATTTTTGGTTTTTTCTGCCCCATTTATGTTGAGGTATGCAGATTCTGAAAAACGGGCACAAACTTTGTCTGAATTTGTTTCAGTCGAGGTTATACATAATCCTTCCAACTTACATTGCACGTCGATTGTTATTGTCTCTGATGCATTGCCACACTCATTACTGACTTCACATCTGTATTCTCCAGCTTCATTCCGGCTTTGAAAAATAGTGCACGTTTACCTGCAATTTAGGGGTGAGGTTGCTGGTGCGCTGGCAATGATATAACATGAAGGCAACCCCGTCTAGGTGAGCTACTTACATGGCAAATTGCGACCGTGGCTGACTGTGGTACCGCACTCAGTAAAGCAGGCAATCCGCTCTGGTGGGTTACTCCACTTGTCATGTTAACGTGATCAAAATAACATAATAGATTATAAAGATAGACCGGCTACCTCACGTACCCGGGGTTCCCCATCTCCACATAAAGAGACCCCAAATAATTCTCGTTAACCTAAGTTACTTAACATAATGTATTTCTAATTTTCTCATGATCCATTCGATAAGACAAGTATTAATAATTAAAGGTATTTACACTATGATAGTGGTCCTATGCCACCAGATCTCATCCTTGCTTTTTAGCATACATATATCTGGAGTTTTTTCTACCCAAGTTATGTTGAGATTATTTAGATTCTGCAGATTCTGAAAAACAGGCACAAACTTTGTCTGAATTTGTTTCAGTCAGGGTTATATCTAATCCTTCCAACTTACATTGCACGTCGATTGTTATTGTCTCTGATGCATTGCCACACCCATTACTGACTTCACATCTGTATTCTCCAGCTTCATTCCGGCTAGCATTTGTAACCACCAACACATTTGAATAAACCCGTTGGCCACTGCTAACTTTGACCCAAGAGACCATGGGTGGAGGAATCCCTGTTGCTATACACGGCAAAGTAATACTGTTTCCTTTGGTTAATGTTCTGTTTTGTATTGACTGTATAGACGCAGGCACTGTTATTAAATAGAAGAGGTAAAGGATGCATTGTTATGTCTAGGTAGTAAACACAAATTAACAAATAGCAGATAATAATTGACGATTTCAAAGGCCAATGAACGCGTTTCAGATTAGCTAAGGTAATTCAAGTATAGTGTATTACTCTGATCTTATCTATACGTCGAGTAGATAATTAAGAGTATTGCTTTAAAAGTTCTCTAAGGTTGCATTCTTTTGGAAGGTCGAGCCACTCATTTTCAGCGGCTCATCGAAATGTGGAATGACCCGTTGTACTTTTAGTGCTCGTGAGATGAAGTCTTCAAGTGCCTCTCACGGCCTAAACATGGAGTTAGTATGTCAAAAGAATTATTCTAATAATTTAAAGATGTATGTTATCACTTTTTTTTAATCATTAATTAGAGAATCATTTTAAGATACCTTAAATCTCTATTACTACCCTTATTTTTCGTTAGAAATTTATTATTTATTTATCAAATTATCATTACTTTATTTATTTTTTTTTTTTTCAAACCCTGTTAAGTGTGTTGTTCTGTAAGAGATGGCCACAAGTTTACCTATCCAGTGTGTGTAAGTAATGTGTCTTACCCTCTTTAACTTCTTTGGTATGTTCACGAGTCATTCGGTCAATCTATAACTCGTCAGAACGGCTTCATTTCCTTGCCTGTCGCTAAAACTTGGGTTTAAAAGTGTCTTTCTAAATCACAGACATCACACAGTTACTTACAGTTCGCATTAACAACAACTTCCGTGCTGTTGCCAGTACCTATGGCGTTCTTGACCACACATTGATAAAGAAATATTCCCCAACGGAGCATCTTCCTCTTCCATACACCGGAACTGCTAACATTATTTACGAGAGTGTCATTTTCATACAATTCATAGTCATCTACAGCTGGATTTCCATGGGATGAACATTTGAAGGTTATGGTCTCATTCTCACAGACAACGGACTTACTTGCCGACAAATGAACGTTTATCGGAGGGTCTATAGAAACAACATAAACAAATTGCTTCAGCGTTGATAGGAAACTCAACAGATACCTTAAGAGGTAATTTAGTGTTAACAACTGGATTGAAAACGTAAATTAGCCACCGTAAAGGGTAAAAAAGCTGACGTTTCGAGCGTTAGCCCTTCGTCAGAGCGATTGACGCATCACGATTGAGCCTATCGCTTTGACGAAGGGCTAACGCTCGAAACGTCAGCTTTTTTACCCTTTACGGTGGCTAATTTACGTTTTCAACCCAGTTGTTAACACTAAATTACCTGCTATACTCTCCCACCGACGCAGCACCACAGTTTCTTTAGAGACTTACCCCTTTATTCAGATACCTTAAGAGCTTGTTTAAACGAAGGTGGGAGACCCCCAGTAGGTGAGGTAACCCGCCCTAACTGTGGTTTAAAAAAAAGCCCGCGTTTACCAGCAATCTTACAGCCCTGGGATCTAGGGGAGAGGTTTTAGGCCACCCCATCTGGGCCAGTAACTTCAGTTTGAGACGTTTACATGTCAAATTGCCACCCTGCCTGACAGCGTTACCCTACTCTGCAGCGCAGGCCAACCGCTCAGGCGGTTTACCCCACCTGTCATGCAAAAGTGATCAAGGTAACATAAAAGATTACGTACACAGGCCGGTTACCTCACCTTCCTAAATGAGTCATTAGTATAAATTACTTAACACAATGAATTTCTAATTTTCTCATAATCCATTCGATAAGACCAGTATTAAGAATTAAAGGTAATTTAATTGTTATGGAAGTCCTATCTCACCAGACCTCATCCTTGTTTCTTGACATATATATTTTTGGTTTTTTTCTACCCAAGTTATGTCGAGGTTATGCAGATTCTTAAAATCAGGCGTAAACTCTGTCTGAATTTGTTTCAGTCAAGATTATATCTAATCTTTTTAACTTACATTGCACGTCGATTGTTATTGTCTCTGATGCATTGCCACACTCATTACTGACTTCACATCTGTATTCTCCAGCTTCATTCCGGCTAGCGTTTGTAACAACCAACAAATTTGAATAAACCCGTTGGCCACTGCTAACTTTGACCCAAGAGACCATGGGTGGAGGAATTCCCGTTGCTGTACAAGGCAAAGTAATGTTGTTTCCTTTCGTTATTGTTCTGTTTTGTACTGGCTGTATAGACGCAGGCACTGTTATTAAATAGAAGAGGTAAAGACAAAAAACCTTATGTCCAAGTAATAATGACAATTACACTGTAAATAATCTCAGAAAAGTTGTATAGAAATTTTCTTTAAGCTTGTTATAACGTCTTAGTTATATGTAAAATTCGCCCATGACTGACCTGAATGTGACAAAATAACAAGGTCTACAAGCCATTTTGCAGTCTGGGCCACAGAAGTGTTGTCTTTACCATGACGTCAGGAGACATGACGTCACGGTCCAATTTTTAAAAACCTAGGTTATCTTCACATTTTAGTCCCGCATTTTTGTCTCTGATATGTAGACCCACTTCACTTGATATAGCTCAGAAAGAGCTTTGCGTCTATAACAGCTAAAGTGGCGTTGGTATAAATGTGTGGGAGATATCACAATTTAAAGTCTAGCTGTGGTGACTTATTTAGGACTGTTGAGGACACACATGCTATAAATGACATATAAATAAGATATGTGCGTTATTTCTTATTTTTCGGAAAAAGAAAAATATTACGGTAAATCTCGATATATCACAACATATCACGATCAACGACTTTCGCTGGTAAGGAGAGGTTTTCACGCTGTAGTTTGGCGTTAATTCCAATTTGAAGTGGAGTAGGTCGCGGCTGGCGGCCATCATTTTGCAAGTCTTGTCTCGCTTTTTCTCTTAAAGGCCTCCGGCCAGAAGTAATATCGCAAAAAGACGCTTCAAACGGCCCATGAAGGTGAAAAAATAACACAATTTTTTTTGCTCAGAAGGCACGGTAACGAATCCTGCATTCTGATTGGTTCTTTGCGCGGTCCGTATTTTCCTATCTCTGCTTAAGGGCAATGGTAACGCTTTCGTGAGTCGCCGAGTACATTCCTACCTTTGCCTCCATTATTCATAAATATATCTAATTTTTCCGGCTGGGCAGTATTGTTTAGCAAAGACGTCGGTCACTACCTCAAGGCGACAAATAACTTATTAATCCTCTCTTTTCTCTCTCTCTCGAATCACTTTGGCTAACAGAAAAATATTGGTTTTGAAATGAATTTGTAGAAGCAACAGTGTCATTTAACTGGTTGAAAAGCGGCCTAAAAGCCGTCTGTAATTAACTCTAATCCTTCACAAAAAGTACCTAAAAAGTTAAAACGTATGATATTTGGCTACAATTGAATTCATCGATGGAACTTTCACTCATTTAATATCTGAATTGTCTCAAACAACTTAATTTGTTCGTAGTCAAAGGGCGAGCGAAGTTTTCAGAAGTACTTCAAGTGAGAGATAATTCCTTAAACATTTAGGAGGAAATTCCAGATAAGCCTAAAGAAAATATATTATTTCTTCGGTCGCTATCTTTCACGAAGTGTCTTAAAGACATCTCACCGGAAACGGATGTAATTTGATAACAAAACACTGCAAACAAAATACGCGTAAGTGCAACACATGGCGCAGTGCCAGAATTGAGATGATGTGTCTGTCTAATATTAGATTTGTAATACAATTACACAGAATCAACAAGTCAATGATGTCTCTCTTGAAATTATGTTTTAGCCGCCAAGAGAAAGCTAGCAAGAAAAATATATCGTCCCAATCCTCCCTCGGCCACATTAGTCTGTTTTGGTTTTGTCTAGACCAATCATATCACAGGAAATGGTATGGACAAAATTGCCTATGGCCCAGACTGCTTAGTACGAAAGGAACCTTGTGATTCTCGAAAAATGTAATATGTAAGAATGACAAAATGGAAAAGAAATTGACAGGGGAAGAAATCAATTGTGCCTTAAACGCCAATTGATTGGCCATGAAATGAATTTTCCTTTTTGTTAACTTAACTCTGAACATTACTACAAATCAAATGCACCAGCAATTTTACTTTTTGTTGACTTAACTCTGAACATTACTACAAATCGAATGCACCAGCAATTTGGAAAAATTAACAAGAATATTAGCAGTCTCTATAAAATAAAATATCTATTCAAATGGGCCCCTCTTTAAAAACGACGTTTTGAGGGATTTAATAAGTTCTTCAATTTAAAAAGATTCTCTTCTGGTTTTAATAAACAAACGTATCTCTTGAAGATTCATTTGCATTAACATTCTTTTATGCTGTTAATTTTCAGTACTTTCATTCAACTTAGTAAGGTAAAACGGGTCGATACAAACAGAGGAATTACTTGCCGTTGACAATAACAGTGACAGCTGTGCTATTTCCTGTTCCCCCAACGTTTTTTGCAGAACATTTATAAACAAACAATCCTCCTTTAGACATTCTTTTCACCCAAACACCTAAATTACCGGCAACGAGTGCAAGTGTTTCATTCTCAAACAGTTGATAGGTATCTACAGAGAACTTGCTGACGGCAGTGCAATTGAGGGTTATGACGTCGTTCACACAGGCTTCAAATTTGCTTGCTCTCAGCTGAACGTTTCCAGGTGGAGCTAACAAAGCAAAATGTACAAAAATAATAACAGATAGATTAATTAGGCATCTATCGTTTCTATTCGTAAACTTCATTGAAGTAAAGCTTCCAAAAATATTTACATGTAGATGGAATGTCGCTCGTTTGTGTTCAGTCAGTCTAGTAGTGAGGTGTGGCAGTCGGAGCAATTGATCTTATAAACTGCTCCCTGTCAATTGCTCCGACTGCCACGACTCCGACATCGATGAGACTGGCAGAAACCTTACTACTAGACTGACTGAACATAAACGAGTGAAGAGGGAAGGCGATGTCAACAATCACATTGCTGAACATCACCGACTTACGAACCACACTATTGACTGGGACTCTGCGCAATGCCTAACTTACAGCACCAACTACTTTCAACGACTGACACTGGAAAGCTGGTTTACTAACTTGGAACAGACTCCCCTCAACAGGTGTCAACCACTAATGGCACCATTCAAACGAACCGAACAGAACGATCTAACTTTACTAACGGATCGAGACTGACCAATCACGACCGACCTAAGCCATTTGAGTCTTACAGCCAATAATATCACGGCAAAACTGACCAATCAGTTTATACAAACCAGACTAAGAACAGAGAAGCCTCGATTATTTTCGCCCGTTTTCCAAATGATAGACTGGTTTTGTGGAGGCTTGAAATTTTGAATTTCCATCACAATTTCTAGCAAAAAACTCACTCAAGTGACATAAGCCAGTCATAATTTCTAACTCTCCCTCGTTCATAAACGCACGCCTTGAGCAGTTTGTTTTCTAATTGCCGTGTGAGAGAATTCGCGTGCTTTTATGAGCTTCAATTTTGCCGAATTTCACGAACATTTCACTCAGATTTTTCATTCAAGACTAGAACACTACAGGGAAAAGTGTTGAAAAATTCGATGTGCCGAACTCTTTCATTATTTTATAAACTCTTGCAGATTGTGACCTTTGAAGGCTTAGTATTTTGTCTTGTTCAACCAATCAGACTATTTGAACCATTCTAACAAGGATTCTGATAAGCTTAATGTAGCGTGCTTTATGGTAGTATAGAGCATGCTGACGACACTGTTCACTTTGGAAGTAAAGTTTGTTTGGAAATCGAAAGTATAGCCTTGGGAATTTTAACGGATTATTAACTATAAAACAAATAGAGAAGCCTTAACTGTGCTCTGTTGTGTTGTAAAGTACTTAGGAAGCACTAAAGCGCGAAGTGGGAAGAAACACGAGACGTAATCAGCAGAACAGAGCACAGGCAAGGCTCCTCTACTTGTGAATTACAAGAAATCTCCAATCAATACAAACGAGGAGAAAGTAAGGTATAGGAACTTGACCACGAGTTGAGAGAAAGAAGACAATGTAATGAGATTAGACGTTTACAATTAATGCTTTTTATCTACTTGTCCCTTCCCTCGGTTTTATATTGTGTATCTTAATCCCAGCCTCATCATTCCAAGGATGCAACGAGACGTTTATACCCACCGCTAGTTATCATAATTTCGTTGAATAGTTTTTAGCTATGCTAAAACATGAGATGATATTGATGACTTTAATTCATCTATTTCTGCAAAGATTACAATATTCTCGGGCGCAATTCACGCACAAGTCGCTCGCAGGTGTATAGCAAGAATATTTGGAGTCTGGATAGCCAATAAGAGCGCCTTCAACGCTATTCACGGTTTCAGTATATATTTAAAAAGGTTATTCAAGGGATAGCAAATCAGAAATCGTATCTCTCTCATATCAGATATTAAAAAAATCGGTCTTTCACCTGGTGGAATACAACGCACACTGGCATCTTCCCAGTGCCCACAGTTGCTCCCTCTCCATCCTTTGTGTCTACAACGGAATATCGCAGTCTCGTTTCCATAACATCCCACGTCATCTAACCATATTACCCCTGTCCCTTGTCCAAATGCAGCAGAGAAAAGTGATTCCCTTGCTCCATCAAATCCGAGCTGCCTACAAACAACATGTGCGTCCAAAAGGTCCCAAAAGTCATCACAAACTGTTCCCCAGATTCCATGATATAATATTTCAACACGACCTTCGTATGGTACGGCTCCATTGACTAACCTGACTGTGAAGTTAGAAAACAATGAATTTACCAAGCCTGTGTCGAAAATTTTCCAACAAATACATTTACGTTATTTCAGAAGACGTACTGTTCTGATTAACTACAACCCTAACGAAGGACTTCCCAAATGTGAATAGATACAGTCGGTTTTCAAGAGCTTCTATATCTCAAGCGTTTTCGAGGAACAAATCTTAACTTAAAAGTATTCGGCAATGGAAGCATTGACAACTTTCCAATATTTTTTTTTCGGAATTTGAGAAAATTAACATTTACCCTGAGTAGTATGATAAATGTAGCGTAATCCATACCTTCTGGAACGCTGCACACAACTCCAGCAATTTGACCATTTGCGCACCTGTGATTTTTCCACCCATCATGCGCACACAGAAGAAGCGCAGTTTCATTGCCAGTGCATTGAACACTGTCCATCCATACCGAGCCACCTTTCGCTATAGAAGTGCTGTACGTATTGGTAGCGTTTGCAAAACCCAGCTGTCTACAGACCACATTCGCGTCGTATTTGTCCCACTCCTTGTCACAGATCCAACCCCATGTTTTGTTATAGTAAACTTGGACGACACCTTGGTGTGCAAGTAGCTTTTCACCTAAACGAACTGTAAGGGAAGTTGGTATTCTTCTTAAATTATTCATCAAACTAAATGTTTGCAATTAAAGGGCAATTCCACATCGACTTCATACGCAGCTAATACTGGCAAGTTTTAGAACTTAGAAAAAAATTAGAAAAATGGAACCAAAGATTCAAAATACGAATTAAACGAGAAAGCTTTTTCATAGGTGGAGGATAGTGGTTTTTCACAGAGCTAGCAAAGGCTGTGTAAAATAAATTCTAAAACCAATGCATAAATCCTAGAATTCTCTAATTCTCTTTTTTGGAGATTGGTTTGTTTTAGCTGTCTAAAGAACTTGATCTAGCTATCAAAAACGTTATTATCCGTCGCTCAAAAAACTTTTTGGAAATATATTTCAGATTCTACAAGGTAATCCCGACCTTTTTTTTTTTTTCGTTGTTGATTTTGTACCTATGTAAAAGAAATATCTTCTTTATCGTACAGGGAAACTGTCTGAAAATATCTTTTTAGTTTTCGTACTAACGGCCAGATATTATAAGTATATCATTTTTCTGATGTTGTTCTTCTGGCTTAGTATATTTTACCTTTTGGTGTGCAAATCACGCTGGCATCTTGCTTATGCGTGCAGTCCGTCGTTCTCCATCCGTTATGTTTACAACGGGTAATTGCAGTCTCACTTCCAGTACAGTTTACATTATCCATCCAAATCACGCCTGAACCTTCTCCAAAGGCCGCAGAACGGAGAGCTTCTAATGCTCGTTCGAATCCCAGTTGTCGACAGACTACATTGGCTTCCGGCATTTCCCAATAATCATGGCATATTGTTCCCCAGACTCCATCGTAAAATAATTCAACTCGACCTTGATATGAAGCAGCTCCCCCAACTAACCTGACTGTCGAGTGAACGAAATTAAGAGATAAATGATTTAAGTTAGACCTTTTGTGTTCCTGTTTGCATCTTGTTAAAGCAATGCTAGTTTCTTGCCAAGGCAAAGAAATATTTTTCAAAAAGAATATTGGCTAAGAAGTATAGGGATTTTGTGTGCGGAAGGTGGGGGTTGGGTTCGTCTAATCCCTAAAGGATTTAAAATCCATCAATTGCATACTTTTTGGGGGAAATACATGCAAGGTTACAAGATGTCTTATATTTACCTTTAGGAGTTTTGCATACTACACCGGCCAGTTGGCTGCTGTGACAGTGATGTCTTTTCCACCCGTCGTGTCTACATAGAAACAGTGATGTTTCATTGCCAACACAGTGCACATTGTTCATCCATACATTCCCATGTTTGCTTGAGGGCTGGCTGTAAGTTGAAAGAGCGTTTGTGTATCCAAGCTCGCGACAAACAACATCCGCGTCGTTTTGGTCCCACTGCTGATCACAGATCCAGCCCCATGTTTTGCTGTGGTAAACTTGAACCAGGCCGTCACTTGCGAAAACGTCATTACCCAAACGGACTGCGTGAAAATACATGAAATCAAATCAATCTTAACGTTACCTACACTGGCTCAGAAACGGAATCTTGTGTATGGGTTCGTCGGTTTTGGTCAATTGCCCCCTCTCATTTGTTATTTAAAAAACCATGTCTATTTTCACCTTACTTCATTTATTTTCTCGTGCTTTACTTAACCCTCACCTTTTGGAGTACAAATGACACTGGCATCTTGAGTATGGTCACAATCTGACACTCTCCATCCTTTATGTTTACACCTAGATATTGCTTCCTCCTTCCCAGTACAATTTACATTATCCATCCATATGATCCCTGACCCTTGCCCGTAAGCAGCATTACGAAGAGCTAGTAGACCTCCATCGAATCCCAGCTGACGACAGATAACATTAGCTTCTGGCAGTTCCCAGTAGTCGTGACAGATCGTTCCCCAGGCCCCATTAAAGAAAATTTCGACACGGCCCTTGTATGTCGCAGTTCCACCGACTAAACGCACTGGTGATGGGATATAAAACGTTCACCATTAATCTCACAGTTACTCGATATGACAGTTGAGAGCGATTGTTACCAACGGTCAAACATTTGATGGCAACAGCTGAAACTCATTTTCGCTCATATTCAAGGTTAAGTAGGTCTCAATGGGAAATAAATGGCAGCATTTTTCATTTGGCTGAATATCGATTTATTTTCGAGGAAATCGATAATAACTTTTGAAGCTTTTTAGGTGAATCTCGGAGCGTCGTGTCAAATATTGAAAAATCCTGGACCAATAGAAAGTACCAAATCTTATAAAAAACCATAAAATATATTTTGTTAGCAATTTGAGCAATTCTTGGCCATTTATTTACACAATCTAATTGAATTTATCCGCCCAACTTCTTACTACATAAAAAATAGGTCAAAAGCAAACCGTTTTTTCACTATGTACTACACAAAATCTGGCTTTTGGAAGATGAAGTGTGATTCTTTTTCAATCTCCAAAGAATTTTTGGGGAAATGATTCAGCACGATTTACTCAAATATAAAGTTGGATAAAATACGCCAATTCGATGGTGCCGTCAATTAGTCGAAAATGTACACACACGCCTGCGAACTAAACTGTTTTGCATTCTACATCCAATCTACCGTTATTTCACAGAATATTAGTATTCAACCGAACTGCGAACCAAATGGAGGCGGAATGTTGCTAGTTCAGAAACATGTTTCTCGTGTGCGGAATAACGCAAGTTAATTCAAAATGAGGTCTACTGAAAGCAACCACTCCGCAAAAATGGAACATTGGACTGTAAATGACATGCGGCTTCGTGAATTTAGGTCAAGCTATAAATATACGAAACAGGAGCAAACAATCATCTAACCCCGATAATAATTAAATCAATCAATCAATCAATATTTATTCCTCCTAAGATAAAAAGACATATCTTAACTTACATCAGCAGTTAGGAGTCTAAAAATTCATAAGACACACTGTATATATAAACATAAGACATACTAAGAAGAATAATAGAAATATCAAAGATTATATTTAAAGATAAGCCTATTTACAAAAACATTCTTAAATCTGTCAGTCTTTATATCCGGGCGATGAGTACTTTTGTTTCTGAGTTGGTACTTTGTTTCTTTCTTCTTCGGAATGATGTTACTAAGCAGGCGATCGGGATCCACTGAACCTACCATGAAAATCTTCTTATCTGCCTTTTCTAAAAGTTCTCGAGTGTTCCATTCTCTTAGATGTGTATTTCCTTTTAAAGCATTTGTCTATAAAGTTTTGTATGACCGTGAGATCTGAGTCTATGGCGCCATAAACAGGCAAACCATAAGTGAAATTTGGTAAAACTAAGGCGCTAAATAGGTGGTCTACTTCACCTTGACTGAAACCTTCCATAAAGATCTTGATACAAACAGACACTTATTTGCCTTTATCAACTTAGCACGTACGTGTTCGCTATATTTACAATTCTTCTGAAACGTAACACCCAAAATGGGCAGCTTTGTGCATTGCAGAATGTTATTAACTTGCGAAACTTGCTGAATAAAACTTTTTCTGCGAAAAGTAATTGTATCATGATTAAATGAATCATGGTATTTTTTTAATTAGTGTTTTAGGTGGATAAAGCGAAATATCTCTAAAGGGCATAGCCCAACACTCCAGTAATTGTGCTGATATTGTAAATTTTAAACAGTGGCTTTTAAAAGAGTAAACCCTGCTAGTTCGATATTTAGTAATCTTGCCCAAGAAATTAGCCGAAGAAGCAGTAATCTATCCCCCTCAAATATAGTCGGATCCAGAGCAATAATGAATTTTATGGTAGTACATTATAGAGCGTAGATGATGCGTAACGACGAATTTAACACAAGCCTGTTTTCTGGTCTATAGGACAAAAAGAGCGAAAGATAAACCTAGTTCGGTGACTAAAACCACTGCTTGCTACAGTTACTGTATTTTGATAAGTTTTGAACCTTCGTGCTCTCTTACTTTTGTTTGGTTAGCGTAACCGCTTACACCTTACCGATTATCTAAAGAAGAACTTCAATAAGCAAAGAATCAACCTGAAGCGCGTTCACTTTTCAGACCCCCAAGGTAGAAAGGATCATGTGAATGTGAAGTCGCCAAAATAAAAAATCAAATGAGAATCTCAATTCTGGCCATGACATCGAGACAACATAGCAAATGATGACAACCATGGGTCATCTGACGGAATGGCTGGACTCAGCGTGACTTTGATTGGTCCTCAACGTACTTACTGCAAATTCAACGCCAGTGAAGTGGGAACGAGTAAGAGTTTTATTAATAACATTGCATACACCAACAAAGGTGTGTTAGGGTGAAGAGCTTATGGAGTTGGTTTGCGGTAAATTTTTACCTCGGGGAAGTTTCTGTTAACGAAGCAGTAGCCCTCTTCCTCAGTTAAACAAGCATACTAATGCGATTTCCAACATTTATTTTCAAACCGTCAAAGCTAGACGAAGCGCAAAAAAACAACAGAATTAGCAAAGACCTCAGCACGAGAGAATGACTGTGACGACGAAAGCTGTGAAAAAGGGAGTGGGCTGTTTTATTGGCCAGAAGAGGGCCATATCAAGTCTTTCCAGCAGTTCTCGTCCTTAAAGGACATCTGAACTGTGGCAAACACAAGTACACCCTAGAACCCTAGGACAAGAAAGGCTGTGCGACAAGGCAATGGCATTGTACGCAGCTAAACTGGAGCATGGCGTAGATGCAGTTCCTGAAACTGAGGATGAAGATGTATATATATATATATCGTAAGAGGATGAAGGTCCAGCACCACTGATGGGCTCGGCTCTGAAGTCAGCGATAGCAACAAGGAAGAACCTCGCCGATGCTTAGAAAAACTATCTTACTGAAGGAACGTACTGGGCAGAAGGCTGATCCCACTATCATTTCGAAGAATGCAATGCGAAGAGCTGAGCACAGCGACAGCTCTAGTGTCTTTAAAAAGGAATACTTCCTCGCACCTCAGGAGATGACAGGATGTTTCTTAGGTTAACAGCGAAAAAAAAATTTCAGCTTTTGCGGCGAAGGTGTTGAAAGATATGAGGCATACAAAGAGAAAGACATCCAAGAACTTACTGAGGAAGTAATGATGACTTTTGCTCTTTAGCATCCAGTCATATTTGACAAATACACCATCTGTGAATCTGTGGGCTAGTCGAAGCTGTCAGAGGTTTCTGTGTGGATGCTGCGGGAGATTTTTTTTTAATAGAATGCGTTATATTGTGAAACTTAGAGGCATATGCGTCCTCTAGGGACCCGCTCCCGCAAGTTAAACCCTTAAATATTCGTTGTCAGTTGCTATGTAGATTCGATTGAGTAAACGTCTCAGTTTCTTATCTTAGTTGTCCTTCGTGTTATTACAGTTTGCACCGTGCTTGAGCTGGACGTATCTTCAATAGCAAGTCAGCGCAAGCAGCCCCATATAGATATTTTGTAAGAATTAGTTGACAAGTGTGGTGGTTAGGGCATAGACTAAAATATCCAATGCAAACCTTGAATTTCTTGCCAGGGAAAAGATCTACGCCCTGTCGGCAAATCTTAATGATCGCTAGCGTACTTTTGTAATCCGTTATAGTTGAATACGGAGAGGTTTCTTTTTAACGCGCGGTCTATGAAAAGTTGTTATTTACTTTTTAAATTTTTGACCTTCGAAGGAAAGACTGAGGAGATAAGCTCAACATGGGTTTGTTCACTGTTGTAAAATATTCGTTTATTTTTCATTGCGATGTAAGATAGGAGATGAACTTCATGCGTTTGTCATCAATAGCAGCGAACCAACGTGCTATAAATAGCGACACCTAAACAATCAACCTCATTGCCTGGTGAAGACTAGAAATATTGCAGTCGAAACGTCGCGATCAACATCCAAAGTGACTCCATCGTGAGACAAACGAAGTTCATCTCTTATGGGTTTGTTTACTTTGTTTTTTCTAAAAAAATCTATACGTTAGTCCTTTAGAAATGGGCGTGAAATTCTGGTCAGACCAGACAACAGGCTCGTGTTAAATTCGTCATTACGCATTATCTACGCTCTGTAATGCACTGCCGTATAATTCATTGACGCCTTGATGCCTTTGGACCCGACTATAATTGAGGGGGATAGATTACAGCTTATTCGGCTTGCCACTTTGGCAAGATTATTAAATATCTAACCAACAGGGTTTATTCTTTTAAAAGCCACCGTTTAAAATTTACAATATCAGCACAATTAACGCGCACGGGACATGTATTTTACGCTAAGTCCCCGATGTGAGGTATATCGACCTGTACTCAAGTCTGCTGTATCAGCTGATGCAATGATTACTCTAAGCGTTTCTTGAGTTTCGTTTCGAGAAACGCAGAAATGGTTTTATAACCAAACGTAAGCTTTTTTGGACCACTGCCCGGAAAAGATAACGTTAATATGAGAACGTGCTATCTGGGTTGTAGTCTTACTATTGGCACGACTAACTTCACGAGGCATGATAGCCTCTGGGGAAGAAGAAGTGTACATATAAATATACCTGTTTTCTATGAAGTAAGAAGTTGGTCGCATTAATTTAATTGTGTGGTGTTAATAAATGGTCGAGCATTGCCCAAACTTCTGAGAACATACATTGTGATTTTTTTTTTAAGATGTGCTTTTTTTTAATCGGTCCAGGTTTTTTCAATTTTTGACGCGACGCCCCAAGATTCGCCTGAAATTTTGAGCTTCAAAAACAGCACTTTGGTGGAATTCAGTTATTATCGATTTTCTCGAAAATAAATCAATATTCGGCTAAACAAAGTGTGCATTGGTTTGTTTCACTCCACGGCCTCCCTAACTTGAGAATACTAGCCGAATTAATTTTTTGGTCGTTGCCACCATATTTTGGAAATGTTCGAATTCTGGCCATGTAAGCTCTTAAAACTCTTCTTCAAGTTATCTTCGTGTTTGAATATTTGAAGTAATTCTAAATAAATCTGAACCTGATCTGAACCCTTTCACAATTATCCTGAATTCTGATATCTTTTTATTCATTCTTTCCCTTTAATTTAGCTATAAACAAAATGTAGGTCACTCAGAGCGAAGATTCAACTTTCAGCAATTGTATTTTGTTAGATAAGAGTACTACGTGCATTTTTTTTAAGGTGATTTTTTCAAAAATTTCTCGAATATGTTGGCTGGCCGCGCCATAAATTCGCTAAAACCACAACATATTCCATATCCGTCTATCTCATTTTAGTTATTCTAAACGAAAACATCAAGGGATGAACCCAGATTTTAAGTTGTGTATTTAAGGCCGCAGTTGTAAAGTAGATGTCAAACAAAAAAGTAATTTTCAATATAAAAAAATTACTCACGTGCTTCGTTCTTACAGGGGAATGATCTAGATATACTTCTTGAAGAAAAGAGCCTAGAAGTTCGTGTTCTATTTCCATTATGTTTGGTCTTTAGGCATTTGCCCAGAGAAATAATCGTTTAGTTCCTCGTCCCGGTATACAACGGCACACTTTGGAGAGCACCAGGCTGTCGTGCTGCATTGCATCTCACCGATTTCAACGACAAAACGGTTTCTGTTTTGGTTATTTCCGGAAGGGGATGGAACAACCCCCCAGTGTTTTTGGTTTCATAAAGTTGGTAAAATGTATGAAGCTCTCACTGCGTTAGTATTCAACCGATTACTCTGAGGGTTTGCATACATATTGTTCCAAAATGAATGTAGGATGCAAGTATCAGTCAATTTGTTTAACGGCTTGTGAATCAACGGAGGCAAATAAATGACTGTTATTTTTTAACTTTTCGATTCATCCAAATTTTTTATAACTTCGAGGTCACATATGTCCCCTTGCCAGAAAGCTACAACACTAACTTTAATTCCCCTTTATAATAGATCATTTCGTCTCTGAAAGCTTTAAAAAAGTGTTTGGGCGCTGCCGTATTTTTGTCTTGGATGCCTTTTAAAATCTACGACCGTGACAAGCTTCTTTCAACTACACCTGTCACGCAATTCTGGCTGTAAGCGGTCTCTTAGGCGAACAAACCTTCATTTTGTAGCTCGTCATACAAGATGATTAATCGATAAGGCTAAGAATTGTAAAAAAAGTTTCGAGATTTTCTGTTGGAATGGAAAATTTCACGTTGAGAGAGAAGCATGTAGGAGAAATGTTGATCTGAAAATCGTAGCGTTTCTTTCTTCTGTCGTTTACATCTTTGAAGGTTTGCTAAAATCAGTAAATTTGGCTTTTGTACGGCACAAAACAGTCATTAGTTTACGATTTGGTAGTTTATAATCATTATCCCTCATTTTAGGAGATTTTAAAAGTCACATGTTTGTTGAGATACAAGCTCCTATATGCCACAACTTCGGCCTTTACAGAGGAAAATTCTGCCCTCTCGGTTGGGAGGAGATATCGATAGCTTTATCAAATTAAAAAATACTTTGCTGGTATTCCGAAAATAAAGCTAAAATAGTGTTGTCGTTGTCACCTACCGCCATCGAGCAATTCCATGCAGAACTCCGCCAAACTAACATTTGTGGCGTGACCCGAGGACTACTAGGAATTATTCAAGCGCGTTGCTCATGTTGTCTACTAGATATCAATTTTGAAATATTCGATCGTAAAATATCTGAACTCATTTATTACTATTATTTTTTGTAAGCATTCCATAACTACATGTAAATCTGCCTCTCTCTCGATCGAGGGTTGTTGGCGTTGAATTTCGTGACTAAAGAGTTAGCCAGCAATATTTTGACCAGTAGGCTTCCAAAAAATTTCCCTTGATGAATAAATCTGAAAACATACCCGGTTGTTTTCGTGGGTAATGACAATAAATTTGGAAGAAAAGTCTGATGGAGGGTGTGTATGTTTTGCAACCTAATAACAGCTGTACCATCTCCCGTTGTCTTCGTCTAAATTTTGTGGGTCTCTCCATATCTTGTGCCTTGTTCGGTCAGTTTTGACTTCTGAAGCTGGATCATCGGCATTGGCTTCTTCGTCCTCATTCATAATTACAGAGGAGGACCTCTTAATTAAACCAGTTTTTGTCAGGGCAGAGCGTTGGCTGAAGAATCTAGCAATCTGCTGCTCTATCGACCATTTAGTCTCAGACAACATTTCTGGCCGGTTTCCTCTCTGAAGCTCTATCTGCGAAGCCACATTAGAAGCGGTTGCCTTGTGACTAGTTTCCTCCCCTGTCTAGCACATGTCTAGGAGATAATTCTTTGCTTTCTGAGAAAAGGCGACTGCTTTTTGCGTTTTCCAAAGGGCCTATCCAAAGTCCACCTGGCTAGCGAGGGATTGAAATTTTAACACCGTTTGACTAGAATTTCATGGGGCTCAATAGAGAGGTCACCTCGCCGCATCTTTGGAAATTATCGTCCGCCAGAGTTAAGACGCATCAATCTAAGTGACCTCCTCCTCGAGTGAAATGATATTCCACATGTTATATTAGGTGCAGCGAGCGTGAGGAAAAGCACATTTTTCCGTGCTGTGATCAAAGCGCAATGACGTACCCTAATTGACACTTACAGTATCTAACCATTGATTGTAATGGAGTGAGCCTAATTTTTTTGTCAAGGTTGACGCGACTTCACATCAAAGCGACGTGACTACACATCAAAGGCGAGCTTTTTTCTAGTATTGACGGAACAAAGTAGTGAGCATCACTGCATGAACTAAGAAAGTAAAAACTTGTATTTATCTCCCACGCGTTTCGTTTGACAATAGCAGACTTCATCAAGGAGTTTTACAAGTACGGTAGATAAGCTCTCTTTATTATAAATTGTAGGTAAGTTTTCTTTTCGTAAACTTTGTCCCGTTTACTAGGGATACAATTCTAACGAACTAGACTCAATCAAAGTGTTTTATTCCACTCTCGTATTCACTCATTTACAGCGGGTGTGTAAAGAGCTACTCTGCATAATTTGTAACGAAATCACTTTCTTATACACACTCTCTACATTGTGATTGGTTGTTGCTAAGTACTAACATAAAAGGTCATTCAAAGTTTCTGCTATTATGCAAACCGATCAATGTCCCAAAATCACGAAGGCGGTGCTTCTAGCTCTTGACATAATGTTCACACTCATCATTTGACATGTGTCACGCACGAATCACAAAGTCTTCGGTAGTCCATTTTCGATAGAAGCAAACGGAAGGAATTCCTCAGGTGCGCCTACGGTGTTGTAAATGCGTGACATTTTTCGGTCGTTTCATGTACAAGTACGTGACCTGTTTGACAGTGACAGATCAAGTGTAAATATTTGACCCCTCAACACATTACATACTCGTCCATGTAACATATCTAATTTAAAAAAGTGATAGAACGCTTCAAAGGCATGAATTTGCCTCTTGCGGCTAAAACGCTGAAAGCGAATTTCACATGCGTAATTGCTTTTGATTTCTCAATTTATGTTGTCGCAAACAGTTTTTGGGGGTCACGATTCATAACACTTTTTGGAACCTAGTTTCATGTTGTAATCTCATTAAATGGCAAATAAAACCACATTCTCTTGGGAAAAAAGTTATAAATACCAAGGGTTTTTTGAAGTAGAAAGGGTTTAGTTCTGGTCAATACTGACTTTTCATAGCCTTCTTCCAAATCTGAGAGAACGCGCGGAGGGATTAAAAATAAAACATACATATATGATAACGCAAGAAAGAAAATAAAAACACAAATAGAGAAAAAGGAGAAACAAAGGAACCCGTATTGCTTGCCCTTATTGAGCCAGACTGACACATCTAGACCAGACAACACGCAATGAAACTCAAAAGAGTGTTGTATACGTGCACTCAGGAAAGGCCATGAAATTCAGCGAAAATAATGAGAAATGCAGATGATATTTGCTGTCAAAAGCAGGCGAATCAGACATAACAGATGGTTTATGAAATTTCTAGAAGTGTTACCTTGAAAAAAATAGTGCACAAGTTTTTTGTACTTCTCGAGAGAGGTCACGCAGTCACACTACTATATATATACTATTTCTGCGGCGTGGAATTTCTTTACGGTGGAAAGTGGAAACAACATTTTCTAGTCTTATTTTCTGGAAAAATAGCGCAGTTTATGAATTTGTTGGAGCTATTGATATTTCCAATCAAACGAAGGGGCAGAGTTTCTCGTCATCCAGCGCGCGACATGTGACTTAAAATCTCCCCTTCTGTTGCAATTTCCTTATTGTGGACTGTGCAATAATAATAATAAACAACCAAATCATAGACTTATTATAAAGCATATGTTTTGTGCTGTTCAAAAGCCATATTTCCTGATTTTAGCAAATCTCCAAAGTAATAAACGACAGAAGATGGAAATACTACGATTTTCCCATCAACATTTCGCCAAATTGCATCTCTCTTAACATTAAATTATCCATTCCTGCAGGAAATCTCGAAAGTTCTCTACATTTCTTAACTTCCTAATCAATCATCATGTATAACGAGCTATGAAATATAGGTTTATTTGCTTAAGTGACCGCTTAGAGTCATGTGTTGCGTGATAAGTGTAGTTGATAGAAGCTTGTCACAGTCGCGGATTTGAAAAGGCATCCAAAACAAAAATACGGCAGTGCCCAAATATTTTTTCGATGGTATTCAGAGATGAAGTGATGGATTATAAAGAGGAATTAAGACTAGTGTTGTAGCTTTCAGGCGAGGAGAGATATTTGACCTCAAAGTTATCAAATATTTAGATGAATCGAAAAGTCTAAAAACACGGTCATTTTTTTGACAGCGTTGATTGACAAGTTGTCAATCAAATTGACTGATACTTGCGTTGAACATTTATAAAGGATGTAAAAATATACATGCAAACTCTCAGAGTAATCCTATCACCTATTTTGAAGCGATTTTCTTGCAAAAACCAAGAAAAACTAGGGTTGGTCCATCTCCCCCCAGAAATAACCAAAACAGAAACCGCTCCTCGTCGTGACGATGGCGGCCTGTTTCCTGACTCCTATTTACACCTCGTCAGAAAAAAAGGCAGCAAATTATTGATCATATAAAAAAGGACCTCTTGTTGCAGTGTTTAGATCACCCCTGATGAAGGCACTAGACAAGAGTGTCGAAACGTTGGGTCTATGAATTGTGACTTCTTCGGTTACATTCATTAAATCTGTAAACCAGAGTAACATCCAGCTATGTCAAAACAGAAACCATTTTGTCTGTATGAATTTTGGGGTAGAGCCTTCAAACTGGCAAAGTTTTATTGAAATCGGTTTGATAGCATGTAACACAACTGCCTGATACTTTCGTGGACACTCTTAAATTCATTTTATCGATTTCTGTCGGTCAAATTTGGTTTAAAATTATGTCTGATTACAAAATTCGCTCACCTTCAGGAACAGCACAAAACACGCCAGCCACTTGACCGTTTGTACAGCTATGAGATCTCCAACCATCATGGGCACAGAGAAATAACGATCTTTCAGTTCCCTGACACTGCACATTATTCATCCACACCTTACCGACCCTGTTCGCGGAACTGCTGTATGATGAAGAAGCATTTGTGTATCCTAACTCTCGACAAAGCACATCAGCATTCTGTTTGTCCCATTTTTCATAGCAAATCCAGCCCCATGTCTTTTCGTGATAAACTTGAACCAGACCCTCGCCTAAATATTTATCTCCACCTAGGCGAACTAACAGCAAAAAGATCGGTGTTGGTCGTTGGCAAGGCAAGTTACAGGAGTGTATGAGTTCCAAGCGAATGCGTCTTTAAAGTATTTAGGGTGTCACGTATGAAAAATATACGTGGATCTATGGAGGATGAACTCCAAAGAATACGAGCAAAATGACAAGATGGCTACCTCTATACTTCATACGCAATTTGCTGCAAACATATTTTACCTGTGTTTAAAGTCACTAAATGGCAAAAAGTTTTTTTGACAAAGTTTTATCCATTGACGACAGAGCACAAGGTGTAAGCGTTCTTACAATAGCCATTAAGGTCACAATAATCATGCTCCATGATATCTTTTAAGATCATTTCACCTTTTGGGATGCAAATCACACCGGCATCTTGGCTGTGTTTACAGTCTGTTACTCTCCATCCTTTGTGTACACACTGAGATATTGCAGTCTCCTGTCCGGTACAGTTGATGTCATCCATCCATATCATTCCAGAGCCTTCTCCAAATGCAGCAGAGCGAAGTCCTGTAATTGCTCCTTCAAATCCGAGCTGACGACAGAAGACATTGGTTTCTGGATTGTCCCAATAATCATGACAAATTGTACCCCATTCTCCATTGTAGAATATTTCTGCACGACCATTGTAAGGTGCTGTTCCATTAACAAGCCTTACTGTTTAAAAAAGATCAACCAAATTGTTAATAAATTAAAAGTTATTTAAATTTAATTATCAAATTTATAATAATTTTTTCCTTCAAATTTTATGATTACTTGAATCAAAATTCAGTTTTCAAATTCACTCAAATACCTTTAGAACTAGGTTCAATGCGGTTGCAGAAATTTTAACTATTTCATAACAGATTTTATGTAGAACGGGGTCCTGCAGTAAGAGTCAACTCAACTGTTGCTATGTATCTTACAAATTTAAAGTCCGCTTAAAAATACAAATTAACTAAAGCCAACATTTTTTAACCGTACTACTATGCGCCATTTTATAGTTACCTAGTTACCGATCACGAAAACCTTAATTCGGCATGTTAGATTACTACTTCAGCTACACCACAACATACGGCACTATTATTGATCTAATCTCAAATTATAATTTTTCAAATGAGTTTCCTATATAGATTTACATTTTATAAACAGATTTTTGGCTCGAGACTTCTGTCGCATGATAAAAATCACTTTACCTACTATCTATCACAGAATTGATAGTGAGTTGCGTAGCCAATCTAGTTGCAGCATTTTAGATAGAACACTAGCAGACCAATACTAATGGGGTTTACATTTAACCCGTACATTAAATGCTGATACTATACTGAGATAAAAGTTAATGTTGACCTTGCGGAATACTGCAAACGACACCGGCAAGTTGACCTTTTGCACAGCTGTGATCTTGCCATCCATCATGTGCACACGAGACTAGAGATCTTTCGCTTCCATTGCACTGTACGTAATTCATCCAAATTATTCCGCCTTTATCCACCGGGTTACTGTACATAAGTGTAGCATTTTCATACCCCAATCCCTTACAAACCACGTCTGCGTCCTTGTCATCCCACTGCTGATTACAAATCCATCCCCACGCCTTGTTATGATAAACCTGAACCAGACCGTGGGTAGCATAGGTTTCTCCACCTAGACGAACTGTTGGAAAATAAATGCATTTTAGGCATCACATCTTTCACTTCAGGCCCCGGATGTTCCAAAGGTAGATAACGTGGATAGAGCAGTATACTTTGTTGAAAATCATCCACTGGATAGCCATTTATCCGTTCGATAGCATTACCCGCCCCTTGAACAACTCGGCCCAAGTATAATTATTGCAATTTTAGACCCACATCAAGAAGGGTCCCTTCTTCCGAAAAGAAACATTTTGGAATGAGTGCGATCCGGCCATCCATACAAGACTGAAAGGAGAATTTTGTGGTGTTTGTCACCAATGCCATTTTTTTGTTGGTTTTTTTCTTCTTTCCTTTTTTTTAGATTTTTTTTTTCAACCGGTACATTCATTTATGCTCTAAAGCATTGTGGTACGTATCATCAAACGTGTCTTTGAAATAACATCACAAGAGCATTAAACAACCAAATGATGCGAGTGAGGTAGGCCAAGGTTCCCTTCTCCATGATTGCCTACGTAAGAATTAGCCACAGGCCTAAGGCATCTTTAAACATAAATGTATTATCCGCGGTGAGTTAGTTAACAACCTATCCATACCTAGAAGCAAATAATTTATAATTATGGACAGAGCAGACGTGACGCAACAGCAACAGCACTGCTTACGTTATAGCAGAGCTCGCAGCGCGCGCATCGTAGCCCCATAATTATACGAACTAGTAGTAACCCATCAAGCCGATTAAATTTGGACTTGACACTGTGCGACCGACCGTACAAGGAGCTACTTTTCGCATGCGCAGCCAACTGTACCACAGGCACTATCTTACCCATTACGTAATGGAAGAGCGAGTGAGAAGGTAATGCACAGGAACGATTGCGTGCGTAACTTGGATACCCATCAGTGTGCGCCAGGAGATACCGGCAGAAGACAATGAAGTGCGCATACCTGAGTGTCGAGCTTCAGTGCAGCGTACCGCAGGCACATGGTTAGGCATTTCACGAGGGCTTTACGTAGGCTAGTAGCTATGAAGCCGCGTAAGCAAATAATTTACAACCAATGTTTTGGGCGGGAAATCAAACTGGTGAGGTTGCAGTTGGACAGTAATTCTCAGTATTTTGCATTTTCTAACCAAGTCGCAAAACAACAATACCAGCAGAGCAAAAACTTTGACAGCGGGAGGAAATTGTCATAATTCAAGCTCATGGCGGAAGGGTTTTGAGTGAAAATAAGCTGAAAAGAAAGAGACACAGCGACCGAAAAAAAAAAAGAGGTGAAAGGAGTAAAGCGAGTTGAGAAAAACGCGCAAGAAAGTAAGAAAGGACAGGCAGAATACGGGGAGAGGAACGCAAAAGTGAACAATAAAAGACATAAGTAAAAGGCGAATATCTGGTGAAGAGCAACGCGAGAAGGAAATACAAAGACGCTCCTAAAAACAGACTGAAATGAGGTCATCAACAAAGAGAAGCGAACTATAAAGGATCCGAGAATGAAGAGGAGGTAAGTCATGTCTTATCTGAATTTTCTCTCACGCTAAGGCTCAGAAAAGTTTGAACATTTTTCACCAATCGTCGTTTGATATTAGCTTCAGTTTATAAATAAAATCACATCGGTCTTTTTATCCATGTTAAGAGATATTACACATTGCTTTAACTAAAATCTGAATCGTGAAGTCAACTTAATTTCAATGAGTTTGAAACTTCATTGTACATAAGAACACTTTACTGGAGTTGTTGCGCTTATTGGCTGTCTTTCTGGTACATACGATTACTTTTAACTCTCAAGATTTCATTGATAACTCTCCTTACTGTCTGCCATACAATTTATTTGATATTAGGTTGGAGAATTGGAATTGGATCAACCATTATTCAACTTTTTGGTGGCGAAAACGTGACATTAAAGTGATACATTTCAGTCTTTTAAAAGTTGTCTGCCTAGCTTTCGAAAACTTGAAAGCGTCTTTGTCGAGTTTAAAGGTCAAAGAAATTCAGACGCGTTCCCAATTCTGTGTCAATATTAGCATGTACTTTATTGATAAAATTATACAGTAAAAACACTAGCGGTCTATGCCCAAATCTCATCGTTTCATGCTTTAAAGAATACGAAATTGTGGCCACATTTTGTGCGAGGGATCGTCAGCGCCATGTTAATTTGTTGAAAGAAATCTGGGTGAGTGTTAAAACTTGAATTATAAAGTACTGTCGGCGATTTCAGAAAAAATTGATATCTCCGGTTAAAACGGAAAAATTATATTTAGCTCAAGCTAGTGTTAAATGGAAATTTGTTACTGATGCGCCGGATATCTTTGGATTATTTTTGTCACCATCAAGGTTTTGTTTTCACGCGTGTCGATGGCAATTTGTTCGTCACGCAACTAATTATGCGTGAAATAAACTCGAGTCGGCATCATGTTTTCGTGCCGCTTTGTGGCACTCTTAATACAATAAAATTCATTTGAGAGGTGGAAACGCATGTTGGTGATAATTTTTTTCAATTCAACTACCAGTAGATTTTATAATTGTCACATAACCCGCACCTCTCTATTACCCGCAGTGGTGCGCGTTTCATGCAAAATCAACAAATTAACCGCGGGTAAACGGCCGGAAATTACGGTACTTGTCTGCTTGATATCGTACTAATACTGTAAGGACAAATTCTGTCTAGGTCACTAGTGGGACTTAAAGGGTTAAAATGGGGGATTTCATTATATCGTAATGGTTAAAATTTTCTTATGCTTTCAAATATAACAAAAATGTGATGAGAATCTGATGTTATGAAACAATGGAAAAACCTGTTGCTGGTAGCTTATGTATTTAATGTTAAATGTTCATGGGAAATGCTTTTCTTTGAAAGTGGGGATACAGAAGTTTTCAAAGCTGGTAGGAATAAGCTGTCACCTTAAAGCTTGACATGCTTCATTCAAACAATTGTCAGTTGTATGTAGCTATCATTATAGAGGTGTATTTAAAAAGATTTTTTGGTGTGGATGTTGTTCTGTATTGATCTTTGTAGCCAAAAAAGCTACTAAAGACCCTGAACTTCGATTTTTATGTACGGAAGGCACCCTCCAAGGTGAATAAGTAGAAGACCATCGAATGATGTTTACAAGGCACTTGCACTCACCACAGTTATATATGCAAGCGATAGTCTACACATTTAAACTGATTACATGATATCTTTAACCCTCGACACCCTAACATCAGTATGCATATTCTCCATACTATTCTCTATACATTTCCTAATGTGCTGACAAGGAGAATATGTTTAACAATCACGAGGTTCTTCAGTTGATTATCATTTCCTTTATACTCATGACCTTAATGTTTGATTCAGGGATGATATTGAAAGGAGAAATTAGATGCTAGTCACTCTGAGGGATTAAAGTTTCAATAATTGTTCACATTTTATATGCTTCTCGCATTTGCTGGCAACAATAGTCAAGGTCGTTAGGAAAGCAAACAAACAAATGAACAGAAGACAGTAAAATTAGGGAAACTGTAAACTTTGCCATATGATAGAAGAAACATCACAGAATACTTAAGAAGAGAAAATTGGATTGTGCTAGCTAATTTCATCTATTGCCCTTCATGTTTTCGATCAAATGAAATTTAATCAGTTGTAGCGTTCGCATGCAATGTGTCAAATTTCCAGACGGTGAGTGTGGACTTGATTCTTCTCAGATGTCAGCTGGTAAAAGATAGATACTAAGAATAGATGTCCATACAAAGTGTTATTACAGATTATCAGATGTTTTGGTTGCCATCTTAATTAACATTCAGTTTTATTTAACGTAGAATGTTTCAAGAACTTTTATCCTTTTTCTTCAGCACCATTTACTATTTCTGGAGCACAATTAACCCTTTAACTCCCAAGATCTCATTAGTAATTCTCCTTACTGTCTGCCATATTCTTCCTGTGATGTTAGTTTTGAGAACTTGTCATCGGATAAACTAATAATATCCTAATTAATATTTTCTTTATTCTCATCACTTGTCTGCTTGATATTGTATCGACATTGCAAGAAGAAATTCTGTCTTGGTCACACACGGGAGTTAATGGGTTAAAGGAAGCAGGTTATTTAAAAAATTATAAGTTTTCATCAAGATAATTATTTGAATATGTGAGAAACATTTGATGTTTTCATATGTAACAGGATGATCAAGCTGAAGATAGCCTCAAAAAGGAGTGAACTCCACTTTACCAATTAGGTGACTAATTTGGAAACTTGAAGACTTGGTACATACACCTTGGATTGCAATTCTAATGATTTAAGCTTGCTGAGGTAATTGAAATGTCATTCCCCATGCAAGAACCTTCCACATGAACTGTACAGTCATATGCTATGATATAACTTAAGAAAATGCATTTGTGTCGGTAGTAGTGTTGTAAGTATAGCATCTGACCTAATGACAAAAATTAATGATTTCCTGTAGGCATGAAAGTTTGGGAGAAGTTATGGTGGTAATTGACCTTTTTTTTTTGCAAGGAAGCTTAGGGTCTGAAGATTGTCATGTATATCTTTTAGCTTTCAAACTTTCAACTTTGTATTAATTGGAACTGTCTACCATATCTATTTCTCTGTACCTTAAGCCTGCAAAAGTTAAAGCAGGTGAGTCAATAACATGACTTCCTTTGTTATTTAGATTTCATTAAATACTGTTGCTCAAGCTTTCATTAATGCATGGTGTTTCTTACCAATGCTCATACCCAAACTAAACATTGATATAAGGAAATGGTCATAAGATGAATGAGTTTTAAGGGGTGGGAATCTGGAGAAGCAATAACAACATGACTTCCTTTGTTATTTAGATTTCATTAAATACTGTTGCTCAAGCTTTCATTAATGCATGGTGTTTCTTACCAATGCTCATACCCAAACTAAACATTGATATAAGGAAATGGTCATAAGATGAATGAGTTTTAAGGGGTGGGAATCTGGAGAAGCAAAGATCCTCCTTTAATTAGGACTGAAACTAATGGGGACCCTCCTATTTTAATCCATGTCCTTACTTTGACCTACCTCCTCCCCTGCAATGTTTAGGGCACATCGATGAAAAGAACATTTTTGTATTTTGACGTAAGAAAGTTAACTTAATTTGCATTCACATAACGCATAAAGCAAGGATATAAATGCCTTAAGTTTAAAGGTTAAAAATTAAAATAAGAGAAGTGTGTAGACGACATCTTACTTTTTATCCTCCTTTGGATATTTATCCAAATAACATAGTCACTATCAGTCTCATTGAATCTCACTTTCTACTGAGCTAGTGGAAAGAAGATAACCTCAGTATTTCTTTAAATGAAGAAAGAAAAGCCTGCCTCTTACCTCTTGAACTTGCATTGTCGTGGTATAAATGTTTGACTCAATTTTACCTGACTAACCAACATGTAAACTGAATAAATGGAAACTCAAAATTTGTTTGTTCTCCTTTTTAGGCGTACATCAAAATCACAAAGTCATCCCAGGCTTGAACTACAGGTTTAGAGGAAATCTGCAAGTGCATGTGTTTTCAACATATAAACCGGGATTATGACTACTTTGAATGATTTTACTACAGGCAGGTGTTGTAAAAATGTTTGTTTAGCTTTTTCAGTAGTACACATTTCTTTTTCTAAGAATCTTGATTATGCGGCGTATGCTAAATTCTGATTTTTCAACCAACTTTTCTTTTCTTTTGAACATTTTTAGATCTTGTAGTTACAATTCATGTAATTGAAATAATTACATGAAATATTGTAGATGTATGGAACATAATTTTTTCCTCTGATCCTCCTAACATTCTATGATGTGTAGGGATTGGCATTGGCTATAAAATTAAGTCAAATGAAAGTCCTGTGCACAGCCTATGCATCAAATCCAAGTAATAAAACTTTGTATCCTTCTTAAAACTAGTTCATCAGAATAGGAATGAGTTACCCGGCACAAGTATGGTATTCACGATGACAGTTTCCTGGTTTGAAAAAAAGTTACTACCGACTAAAATCCTTAGTTCTTTTACCCTGACGGCCTAACCTCATCAAAACATTGCCAAAAATAGCAATAAGCAAATTAATGATACAGGTAAGATAGCCTACTCCCAAATGCACCCTCCTCAATCATGTTATATGTAGCTTATTATGGACATGGCATTTCAAACATGGTGCATATGCCACAAATTTTCTATTTCCTTGACTAGTTATTTTGTAATGGTATTTACAAGCTGTGGAAGATGGTTGGATTGAAATAGAATAGCCAAATGAAAACTTTTTACATACCAATAAAATTTATTGTTGCATTTCATTTTAGCATGTTGCAACTATTCCACCTTTCAAGAGAAGATATAGGAGAAGCCTATACGATTCTGGCGTATTGTTTTACAGACTCATTGTGCTCACGTGTATACACTTCAATCAACCAGTGATGTCTTAACACAAAGTAGTTTACCGTCGTTTCCTTCAATTCTGGCTCATTTTCCCAAACTGAAACTGTACGTCACGCTCAATATAATATAATTTCGACTGATGCTGACATCATACACCTCATCTGAAGAAGAAAACATTCCCTATCTTCGAAAATTTGCTTAAAACATCACGAACAACAACGAAAGTTCAAAGCTTTTTGAAGATACTGCTGCCTAGCATGCGTGTTGATCGCTTTGCAAGTTGTGAGAACATCGTCCCCAGGTTCCAGACCTCGTCAATTCTACCTCCCCCTCCCTCCCATCCCCCGAACTGGTCTTTGAATATCCTTGAAGAAACTTTTCTACAGGCTGTGATAAAGAGTTTTATTACATTTTTTATTCATTATAATGAAGGGCTAGAATATAAACTTATGAGAGTTCCACTTTTTGGCTTGGCCAAATCTATGTATTATTGTAATGTTTAAAATTTTCTTATGCTTCAAATGTAACTAAAAACATGATGATAATGTGATGTTATGAAACAATGGAAAAACCTGTTGCTGGTAGCTTATGGCTTTTATGTTTAAATTTTCATGAGAAATGCTTTTCTTTGAAAGTGAGGATACAGAAGTTTCCAAAGCAGATAGGAATGCGCTGTTTGCAAGTAACAAAAAGCAAATTGACATTCATACCTTAATGCTTGACATGCTTCATTCAAACAATTGTCAGTTGTATGTACTTATCAATGTAGAGGTGTATTTAAAAGATTTTTTTTGGTGTGGGTGTTGTTTTTTTTTTATCTTTGTAGCCATAAAAGCTACCAAAGACACTGAACTTCGATTTTATGTACACAAGGCACCCTCCAAGGTGGATGCGTGGAAGACCATAGAATGATGTTTAGTAGGCACTTGCACTTACCACAGTTATATATGCAAGCGATACTCTACATATATAAAACTGATTACATGATATCTTTAACCCTTAACACCCTAACATCAGTATGCATATGCTCCATGCTATTCTCCTTACATCTCCTAATGTGCTGACAAGGAGAATATGTTTAACAACCAAGAGGGTCTTCAGTTGTTTATCATTTCCTTTATACTCTTGACCTTAATGCTTATTTCAGGAATGATATCCAAAGGAGAAATTGGACACTAGTCACTCTCAGGGATTAAAATTTTAATAACTGTACACATTTTATATGCTCCTCACATTTGCTGGCAACAATAGTTAAGGTTGTTTGGAAAGAAAACAAACAAATGAACAAAAGACAGTAAAGTGAGGGAAACTGTAAACTTTATCATATGATAGAAGAAACATCACAGAATATTTAAGAAGAGAAACTTGAATTGTGCCAGCTAATTTCATCTATTGCCCTTCATGTTTTTGATCAAATAAAAATTTAATCAGTTGTAGAGTTTGCCTGCAATGTGTCAAATTACCAGTGTAGACTTGATTCTTCTCGGATGTCAGCTGGTAAAAGATAGACACTAAGAATAGATGTCCATAAAATAAAGTACACATCATCAAAAAATCACACTGAATGGGTGGTGGGATTGTTTTGTGATGTTTAGAATGACAGAAGCAAGAAAAAACCTTAAGTTTTTTCCTATTTCCCACAAGTTAATTAGACTTTGGATACTACATTCAAACTGGGTGAGATTAAAAATATTTCACATCATGCTTCATCGTGGTTTGTTTATATGGAAAGGTAATTATTATTTTAGCCTCACAGATGTTTTGGTTTCCATCCCAATCAACCCTTTGACTCCCAGATCAACTTTGTAATTCTTCTTGCTGTCAATCATACAATTCTTATAATGTTAGTTCAGAGAATTTAGTATTAGATCAACTAATTATCCCCAAATTGATTTGTCTTTATTCTCATCTCTTATCTGGTTAACATTGTATTGACATTGTAGGGAAAAATTATTTCTTGGTCACTCATGAGAGTTAAAGGGTAAACATTGATAACAACGTTTCATTTAACATAGAATGTTTCAAGAACTTTTATCCTTTCTCTCCAATGCCATTTATTATTTCTGGAGCACAATTAACCCTTTAACTCCCAAGATCTCAATAGCAATTTTCCTTACTGCCTGCCATATTCTTCTTGTGATGTTAGTTTCGAGAATTTGGTATTAGGTAAATTAATAATCCTCTAATTAATATTTTTCCTTATTCTCATCACTTGTCTGCTACATATTGTATTTATATTGTAAAAAGAAATTCTGTCTTGGTTATACGTGGGAGTTAATGGGTTAAAGGAAGCAGGTTATTTAAAAAAAATTATAAATTTTCATCAAGGTAATTATTTCAATATGCGAGAAACATTTGATGCTTTCACATGTAACAGGATGACCAGGCTAAAGTCAAAGCCTCAAAGAGGAGTGAATTCCACTTTCATAATTAGTGATTAATTTTAAAACTTTAGGACTTGGTACATACACCTTGGCTTGCAATTCTGGTGATTTAAGCTTGCTTAGGTAATTGAAATGTCATTCCCCATGCAAGAACCTTCCACATGAACTGTACAGTCATATGCTATGATATAACTTAAGAAAATGCATCTGTGTCGGTAGTAGCGTTGTAAGTACAGTATCTGACCTAATGACAAAAAATTTTGATTTTCTGTAAGCATGAACATTCGGGAGAAGTAATAATGCTAATAATAATAATAATAATAATAATAATAATAATAATTACGATTTATTGACAGTATTTCTACATGATAGCTCTACATCCGTCATACTAACTAAATACTAACGACTTACATAATGCATAATGTACATAATGTTATTCAAGAAACATCTACTGTTTACATAAAGCAGGGCATGGCGAGGTACCGCTTGATACAGGTTGACCACTTAATACAGGCTCCACAGGGATCAAACCCTATAAAAAGAATCTCGTACAGTTTCTGAAAACCGAACAAAGCAACAACAACAACAACAACAGCAACAAAACTTGTTGAAACTTGCATTGAATCATTATAGGCTAAGAGGCCGTTGAAACTCAGTGAAGGGTAAACAGGACTACTCACTTGAGGTAAAATTACAGTTATCAAGGGTTAGAGTGTACTTACCTTTCGGTGCGCAGATCACACCGGCGTCTTTGCTGTGATCACAATCTGTCACTCTCCAACCCTTATGCTTACACTGGGTTATCACTGTTTCGTTTCCAACACAGTGGACATCATCCATCCATATGATCCCTGACCCTTGTCCAAAAGCAGCAGAACGAAGAGCAAGAAGCGCTCCTTCAAATCCCAATTGACGGCAGAGAACAGAAGCTTCTGGCAGTTCCCAGTAATCATGACAAATTGTTCCCCAGGTGCTGTCATAGGATATTTCGACGCGACCTTCATATGAGGCAGTTCCGCCAACTAACCTTACTGGGGATATAAAATGTTTACCGTTCAGATGTCACAGTTACTTCATATGAAAGTTAAAAACCCTTCTTCATGTTAATTGATCTTTGCTGGTTTGATAAGAATTAGTTGCCAAGCCTAAAGCATCTGTTCGAACGTTGTCAACATTACAAGGAATTAAAAATCGCTTTCGTTAGAGTTCATGATTCTGCTCAATTGCCATAAAAACTGATTTGGTCGGTTAAAGTATCGAATTTGTAAGCCAGGTCACACCTCTAAATCTGTGAATCAATTTTAGGATAAATAAAGAGAGCTGAATTTGTGGAATTTTTTCCAGTGGAAAATTGCAAAAAGGGACCTTGAAGATTATATGGATACTTGCAATTGTTACTTGTTTAGAGGAGAATTTTGCTACGAGACTATGATACTTCCACCGACGCGACAAAGTGCAAATTGCGTTTTCTCTTTGATTAAATCTGATCATTGGTCAAGGTGCAAAGGAAAAACCTCAGGCCAAAGGCTGTACCAAGGTTTAAAATCAGGTACAGAGAAGTTTGAGTGGTAATAAGCCAACATCTAAGAATCGTTCTTCGTGGAGATAAGAAACAAAACTATACAATAATTCTCTTATTTGTTATTCTTTGAATGCGATACTCTTACCCTCAGGTACTCTGCACTCCACACCCGCGAGGTGACCATTTGTGCAGTTATGGTTCTTCCAGTTCTTATGGTCACATAAGACTAGTGATGTTTCATTGCCAATGCACTGTATGTTTTTCATCCATATAACGCCACCTTTATCTTCTAAACTGCTATAAACCATGGAAGCCTTTGTTAATCCCAACTCTCTACAAACTACGTCAGCATCTTGTTTGTCCCAACCCTGATTACAGATCCAGCCCCATGTTCTGCCATGGTAAACTTGAACAAGACCTTTGTGGGAGAACACTCCCTCACTTAAACGGACTGTTGGAAACAAAAAAATTTAGATCAGATGAGGAAAAATGTAAACAAAGGGGATGCTCTGTTGTATGTCTGTTCCAAAACATAACAATTTCCACCTAACCGAAGAAATTCAATAAACGAGCGACTGAGAACTAACCGAAGGAGTTCAATAAACAAATGTACGAAACATTTCCGTGAGAATTCTATATAGCACTGAACTCTCGCACTAAACCCTGGTTTATCGAAGGCAAGAAAGATATGACATTCATAATAATTCCTCCAACATCGAGTTTTAGCAAATTACCAATTGGAATGCAAATCACACTAGCATCTTGGCTATGATCACAGTTCCCAATTCCCCATCCCTTGTGTCCACACTGGGAAATTGAGAGTTCATTTCCTTTACATTCAACGTCATCCAACCATATCACTCCAGTCCCTTTTCCATAAGCAGCAGAACGGAGTGCCACAAGGGCACCTTCGAAACCCAGTTGGCGGCAGAGTACATTAGCATCCGGCAGTTCCCAATAATCATGGCAAATTGTTCCCCAGACACCGTTGTACAAGATTTCAACACGACCTCTATTAAGCCCATTTCCTTCGACCAGCCTAACTGCATGGTGGACCAAAGAAGGAAACAAATGAAATAATCAAATATTAAAAAGAGCAAGATTGAGCACATGGCACTCATAAAGGGGAAATTACGTTAATTAGAAAGTTTCCCCAAGTAACCAACAAAAGGCAGGTCACTTCATTGCGAAACAACCAGTTTTAAAGATTACCTCAGTTCTGCTCATTGATATCAAGATAGTCGCCTCGTGAAAATATAATCATTTTACTTTGATCTCTGCTGTATGAATGTACGGCAACTACGAACTTGAATATACATCGTAACTCTTGAAATTCACTCCAAGAATCAAACATCTTTCGCAGTTCTGATAGCGCTTTTTGTTTTGTGTTATAATTGACAGCAAGAAAAATATATAATACTTTCAAAAATAACACGAAAAGGCACTGCTGCAACCCAAATGAGCACAGGGCAACTTACCGTTTATATTACCAAGAGCACTGTTTGTCCATTTTCGCAGTAGAATTCCTAAAAGTTCAGTCAATCGAAACGTAGAAAATGAGCGAATAGGTTTGTGATATCGAAGTGATTATATTTCATAACAAATAACTTCCTTTTAGACTGCTGTAGAATTTAAACGTGCGTTAGCGTGTTAACTGTCGCTCGATCTTAGCATAATTAACATTTATATTTCCTCACGTATTTCCGCAAATCGTATACATGCATGTAAATTTTAGTTTCGCGCTGTTTGCGGGATTGATCATTATCACAAGGAAGCTTTTTTGAGTTCATTTCTATCGATTTATTTCTCTCCATCGCCACGTTTTGGCTCATATCTGTCATCATTCATTCTTTCGTGGTCTGTGACAAGCCAGATATCAACGCACTACATCAATTGCATCAAACACATGTGTCACATCGGTGTGTGTTCCAAATCCCCTTTAAAAATCAATTACAGACCGCTGAGCTTTATGAAGACGCAGCCAAAAATACCATCGATTAGAATAGCTTCCTGTCTGAGAAGTGGAACTAAATACTACTCATAAAGTAAACTTAGGATACAAAAGGATCAGGGCTTTAAAGAGAAGGCACAAGCAACGATAGCTTAGTAACCTATTCCAAATTGGAATGTGAACTATTGATTTGCCTAATCCTCATATTTATGTTTAGCATTTTGAACCGCGCAAGCGAAGCGTGGAGCGCATTGTGAATATCACCACTGAACCTTGATTTAATAAGTAATCGAGTTAGTGAATTCTAAGTGAAGATTAAATGGTTTGCCTTAACGTATCTTTCCGACAGATATTTAATTCATTCAGGAACATCTGGTAGATACATAGCACAAATATCCATTGCGGATGCTCTCAGCTGTTGTCATGCCGTGGAATTTTAAGTAACCACGGGAAATCATGGTGAAATATTTTTAGCACTTATCAAGCTATTTTTTCTACCAAATCAAATAGATAGTCAGACTTTGCTAAACACAATGGATACAATCGATACTCAACCGAGCAGAAATGCATTTTGGGCTGTGAATAACTTATATGGATACGTACCCGACAACTGTAACACAAGAATCCGATAAAGTCGGTAATAGCTTATCCACCACATGTTTGAGGTCCTGCTACGAAAATTGAATACAATGAGGGACAAGACAAGCAAATATGTAACTGCTTTAAGAGAGGGGAAAAGACATGATTCACCCGTCCTCAGTTATTGGTGCTTTGTTTCCCGAGTAATCGCTCGATAATGTTCATCAGTAAGTTCAACAGTAATTGTTAACTTATTCAATTGTTACTTGATATGGATGACGGCAAGCTGGGGAGAGGAGCCTTGCACTGAAAAAGTATCTGCTACGCAGTGGCTGTGGCTAGGTGCCTGGCAACTAGTTTTCACAAACAAGACGTCTGACGGTCAGAAATTTTCAGTGAATTTCCAATGGGTTTCGTCTCGAAATGTAGGTACTCTCGGGCGATATATCGGTTGATATATTGGGCAACTGTCGACCGATACTCCGTCGATATATTGGTCGATATGTATGCCGGTATAGCTTTCAGTTCACCGATACTTCGCCGATACTTCACCGATACCTCGCCGACAATTTACCGAGTATCGGTCGATAGTTGATCGACACTCGGTCGATGGTCGACCGATAGGATCAGTTTTTGTTTCTGGGCACTCGACTTAGGTCCCGATGAGATCAGTTTTTGTTTCTAGACAATCGACCTAGGTTCTGAAAAACCGTCCTCGGGAAAAAATCTGTCCTCGGGTAGTGTGTGCACTGTCGATAAACTGTCCCTAGTTGATGTCCACGTAACGTCCACGGTATTTACCGAGCTTGGGATACACGAGCCGACATCGGTTTTTAAATTGTGCAGGGGTTGCCGTTATGTGACCTCGGTTAAGTGTTGTTACATAACGGTGCTCGGTTTGTAGATAACGTATACGGTACTAACCGACCTTAGAATACCGTTCATGGCCCTGTTCGGTTTAAAATTCTTTTTAAAACCCACCACGGTATATGACGGAGTCCTGTTGGGTGGCCTCTGACTGCTCCCCCCAAAAAAAAACCCTCCACGTAACGGCTTTCAGTGTTTTTCTAATAGTTTCCATTTTTTGATGGTATTCACCCTAATTTTTCTTTTCTTTTTTACTCCGTCTGTAAAAAGAGGGGATGCCGTTGATATGTTGGTCTCGCCGTATTATTCTGATGTAAGTAACGCGAATCTAGATTGTTTTTAAATAACTTTATTTATATGTCTTGACATATTTCAAGTTATATTGTACCATTTGTAGGTTCATAAAGCAAATTGGACTGTTAAACTTATTGCACCTACATACCAGAGCAAAAAAAAAAAACCATTGCAACTAGTATAGTTAACAAAATTTAAAGTTGTTCCTCTTAGGATTGAAAAAATTTTAAGGTAAGCCAATAAATCAAGTTCTTGGTACCGGTACCTCTAAGGGGTTATGTTAAATCTATTCTTTTTTCTTTTCTGCTACGCAGCTGGTTTAAGGTGTAAATTGTAGCGTCCAGGTAGGATTGAAGATCTTCTCTGCACAACCCCTTTCTCCTTTTTTGCCCCAGTTTCAATTGACTCCAAGTGGACTCCACCTCTTGTGTGCACGCCTGTTCGTTGATCCACAAAATTGTGCGCGTGCTCAACAACTCGGTGCCTGTTGACATAGGGCAAAGTTGGAGTCTTCGATATGCGGCCTAATCATCGCCGTGCACTTCTGTGCCTGGAAAAACGCATCTTTGAATGATGGGCAGAAGTATTACCGCATTCCTTCTGTCCACCACTTGGAAATAGCCTCTTGCGGGGCTATTCGCACAAGAGACTATACCAAACACCCACGAGTCACGAGCAGCCCTCCTTCCCTTGTTATACTGAAAAGATATTAGAAAATTTACTCAAGATTTTTTTTCTTATTAAGGCGACATTGCAAAAGGTAGCATAGTCAATCAGGCAGAAAAGAGCACCATAGCCTTCATTTTTTATGTACTTTTATTAATAAACTGTGAAATATATTTTTTGTGGGCCTGCATCTTCGCGAGTGGTTAAGTGTATAGACCGTAAATAAAACTTGTAACGAAAATAAGGCCACTACCGGAAAATATGTCAACTGGAATATTTGGCCTTCAACCGTGAAATCTGAAACCCTATCAGCTGTCATACATGTGCGTAATTTAGCTCTCATTGCAATTTTGTGCGCGTGCACATCGCAAACGTCCTTCCTAGAGTATTCTCAGGAATTTGATTTGATAGACCATATTCGTATTCTTGGTATTGGACTGGAACTAGCTTAAATGAAGGCTCGTACGGGAGAGTATCATTGAAAAAAAAGATAAAGGTCATAGAATTTGCAAGAAACTTTCCTTTTCTGAAAAATGAGCTGGGATTCCGATACCCTTCGGTACCCCCTATTCGATTTTCGCGATTTTACGTTCTCGCTCAAACAACATACAGTCAGGAACTGCATTTCGATTTCAAAAAATTTGAGAAGTAGAATATGTTTTAAAACTTCAGGTCCCAGTTGCTCGAAGGCTAGTCAACCCTATCCACCGGATAAATTTCTATCCAGTGGATAAAAGTTGACAAAATAAACCCCGCTATCCTTTGGATAAAGATCTATCCAGTGAATAGCGCCATCCACCTTTCGAGCAATCCGAACCAGATGCAAAGTAATACAGTTTAGAAGATGCACTAGTTTATTTTTGTATAACGTTTACCACAGCACCCGGTCCACCAAATGGTATTATTGGACGCGTCTGCAGGTCCAGGGAGCACACATCTTATAGGCGTCTGCATATTTGTGACGCCAAACTTGCATTCAAATTCAGGGTTCGCAAAATTCTTCGTTGCGAGTCATTCTAAACGAAGTAGTAGATGGCCTTAAGTAGCGTAAGAAGTAGCACCTTTGGAAATTCGGCGAAGAAACTGTTTGATCGTAAGCTCCGCCTTTTTCAGCAACCGCGGCATCGCCTGCAGAAAATGGATGTTAAGTGTTGTCAAGGAAGAAATTTTACGCTTACAAATCAAACGAAAGAATCAGCAGAGTTTTCAATTTGGCATTAGTTTGGGAAGAACCGGTCAGACCCTAACATCTTTTCTGTGCGCAGGTTTTCGACATGAAATTTTTTTTCAGGATTTGTTTTTTACGAAATTTGATTTCAACACTCACGCATTCGGGCTGTGCGAATTTTTTTTTTTCGAGCACCAAGGTCACCATTACATTAACTAATAATTAGACTCGACTCATTCTTGCATTGAAATAAGCAAACACAAACGCTTAACTTACTATAGAAATCCATTTACATGGTTTCCGGTCCTCTCTGTCAATTATATTTCACAATTACACTGTGTGCATTGTAGAGGGTCGGGTAGCAAATAGCATCTTTGAAGCCACCGTATCACAGTTCATGTTGTTGCGCTATCTAGCTCAATGCGATTTGGCTCCACTATTTGTGTTTCAGTTTTCCACGCTAACACACGCCCGCTTATAACCCTTATAACCCTTATAGAGACCGAAGTAATGGACCCGAGGGACCAATCTCTTTTAACCGAACTCCACTCAGAACCTACGCCACAGTGTATTTATTTGGTGATTTAACTTTTTAACTAAAAACGAAAAAGGGCCTATGTTTTGCTCTTTTCAATTTTACCTATGCCTGACTTCACCTTTTAAACCCTGTTGTGAAATAAAAAAAACTCATTGGCAACAACGCAAGAAGGTCGCGTTCGTAGACTAAAAGACTCCTAACCGCTAAAACAAAAGAATGCGATCGAAGCAAAAGTCTCACCTCTTTGTTTTCCTTGCCTTTTGCGGCGTGTATCGAAATAGTTTATACGATATATAACCGGCTAAATAAGTTCTCCTCCCTGGCAATCTAGAGCTTGATTACGCGGCGAACTTCAGTCCTGTTAGGAGCGCTAAGATTTCAGCTCGGTTTCCACAATAGGTATTCTAAAAAGTGGTGTTTGTGCTTGCATGACTAGAGTTTTCAGCCTGGGCTGAACGTGAATTTTGAAATTCGCAGTGATCAGCTCTTGCGATCATCTTTTACCTCGCAATGCTTTTCTGATCTTATCTACTTCGTTTATTCGCAGTGATTTAATTCATTTTGGTCATCTGTTTTTGTTTCTGCATAGTTATCTATAGCATTGCGCTTTGTTTTCTCCTAATATATACTGTAAGTGAATAGCTGAAAATGAAACCCTCCATAAAACAATTACCCAGGGAGAAATGGTACGATTTGAGAGAAATACAGTTTATTGGAAGTTCTGTAGTTACAATAGTAAACATCCACGGAACAGAAGAAACGGAAATGCACAGGGATAAGAGGGATCACGTGAATAAGATAAGTAACTAAGTAACCATACCTAAATTTCTTCCTTTCCTAACAGTATCATCCTAATGCCCGGTAAAAAAGGGGAATTAAAAGCTGAAGTGCCAATTGCTGACTTAAAAGAAGGAGAGATGGTCGAAAAAGTTAGTGAAGAGAGGAAAACAAGAAATGGCCAGCCAAATGACCGGTTAATAGTAAAATTTATTAGTAGTACTTTTGTGCATGTGTTAGTAAATTTAATAGAAAGTTTAAATTTCATTTAATTAAGTATTTCTGCCCGTCCTGTTTAGGATTTAGGCGTGCCCTAAAATAGGTCAGTATAGATAGTGTTGAGGTAAAACCCTTTTGAGTGGTCGTAGGGTCCGCCAAAGACCTCGCAGGTTCTTTCTCCCAAGATGATAATAATGAAAACGATAATGATAATCACAATAATGTACAAATGTGTGAACGAAAGTAGAAAATTCTCTTTTCGATAAAACCAACGATAGAGAGGCACATAAGGAAATTTATTTTTCTAGCAAAGTTAGGGCAAATAGAGAAAGAAAATCTAATGATATGCAAAGAGCAAAAACGAAGCAAGGTGTTGAATTGATTGATAACTTCGCGAAAGTAGATTGTTATCAGGGCTGATTGTATAGTTCATTGTGTGTTATATTAAATGTCATATTATATGTTATATTAAATGTCATATTATATGTTATATTATATGTTATATCATATGATATACTCTAGAAATG